CGTACGCCCCAAGGCTCAACTCGGAGCAACTTGCTCCGCTTCCTCATTTTGGGGCAAGGATGGAGGGGACCCGGCTCAGAGCCCCCTCGGGTCCTAGTGCCGGCCGCACTGCCGGGTCTCCTTCCGCTCAATCTTTCGCGCAGCCCGGGCAGGATGCTGGGTGCCAGGTCCTGTGTGCCCGCTGTTCTCTGGGGCCCCATGAGCCTCGGCCTTCTATAGCCCACCCCAGGAAGGCTGGGAAGGAGCAGAATGGCTCGCGCAGGCGCAGGTGCAAGGAGTAGGAAGGAGCTCCATGTCTGGGGAGGCGATCAAGGCAAGCAACACACAACGGCCTCCACTCTACAGCCTCTATTCCCGGCTTTGCTGTGAGCCTGGCCACGTACTTCCAGAAATGCCAGGCATGCCCAATGTGGGGCCTTCAAATACACAGTCAAATTCACAAAATTCGGGAGGCAGAGGCAAGAGGATCTCTGTGAGTTCAAGGCCAGCCTGGGCTACATAGAGAGCTACATGGTGAGTCCCTGCCTCAAAAAAAAAAAAAAAAAAAAAAAAAAAAGAAAAGAAAAGAAATAGAACCGGTTTAATTAATTAAAAAGAGAGCAGGGAGCTCAGTAGCAGAGGACAAGTTGGGACAGAAGTGCCCTGCACTGATGGATGTGACATGGAAGCCACAGGTGCTTAATCACAAGTCCCCAGTCAGGTGTGAGCACCCACTTAGGAATCACTGCTGAAGACACCACATGTCTGAGTCACAGGAACTGGCCTGGAGACTCCCTTCCTGCTGTCGCTGTTACACAGCTCTCATGTACAAGAGATACCCCACTGATGCAGGAGTTTATGCAGTAGCTGTTTTCTGACTGGATCTGACCCGTCCTGCACAGGTACCATTTGTGCAGCATTCATGCCGGGGCCTGTAAACCAGGTCAGAGCCCAAGGCTAGAGCACCTGTGCCAAACGGACTCTGTCCAGAGGTTTATTCTGGTACCTATAGTTAGAAAACATCCAGAAGACAGGCCTGAGACTGGGAGGCTCAGTGGATGGCACACTGTGGTGTCACTGGTCTGTCATCCCAGCCCTGGGGAGGTAGAAGCAACAGGGTCAGGAGTTAAGGCCAGCTTCAGCTACAGAGTAAACTTGAGGCCAACCTGGGCTACATAAAACTGAGACCCTTTTGCAAAAAAAAGGGAAAGTTTGAAAAGCTTATGTGTCAAAAATGACACTGATGACACTGTCCCTGCAATTCCAAGCTTTTGGAGAGGCCGAGGCAGGAGAATGGAAAGACCAGGATACAGAGGGCACTGCCTAAAACAAACCCCATAAACTGTCACTGTGCACTCTGGCCTTGGCAGAGCTGGGTGTAGGCATGTGGGGTGTGGTTCTCTCTTTATCAGGGGCCTTATGGTTAACTCAGGGATACTAAGGACCCATCTTCCTTGGCAAGCCCTCACAGCTGCCTGAAATAGATGTGCCGAGCCATAACTGAGCAGAGGAAACCTCACTTCCAGGAAGTTCTTACCCATAGTTGACACAGCTGACCACAGCCCCATCCCCTGAAGCTTGACTTCTGAACACTTGATGTGGGATATGAGTGTGTTAAGCAATGTTTCTGATGCTGCAGGAGGCTGGGGCCAGACTTAGGGCTCAGTGGGCACTCACCTGATGTGCACAGCAGCATATACACCAGGTGTGGTGGTGTGTGTCTGCCATCCTAGCAATGAGGAGACTGAGGCAGAAGGGTCACAAGTTCAAGGTTAGCCTCAGCAACCTGGGCTGACTATGTGAGACTCTCTAAAGAATGAATATAAAATGCCCTAACACTTCTCTCTGAGACAGTATCACACATAAACCAGAGCTCATCATGCTCCCACCTCAACGCCCTGAGTGTTGGGATGACAGATGAGTGCCACCATGTCCAGCTCTCCATGTTTTTATAAAGCCACTACCTTCAGCAGTGTCAGGAGCCATTTGCTTCCCTGTGCAGGGAGGAGGCATTGGGCCTACCTTGCAGATGGAGAAACTGAGGCTCTGGGACTCACCACCATCAGTCAAGGCCCTGGGGCACCTAAGAGTCTTGGTTTCCATAGAGAACACTCCCTTGCAGCCTGCATCCCTGGCCAGATCCTCCTGCCCCAATTAGCATGCCTTTAAATTTAGCTCTGCTTGGTGCTTCTCATGCTAGGGGACTCCGGATCCAGGGAAGGACAAAGCTCCTTTTGAGATCCAGTTGCTGTCAACCTTCACCCTCCTCCTTAGCTTTTGAGACTGGGCTTCACTGTGTGGTCCAGGCTGGCCCAGGACTCCTGGTCATACTATTCAAAGCACACAAGGACTGTTGATAGGAGCTGGCCTCCTGTCATGTCTGCCGATGAAAAACAGGGATTAAAATGTGCTCACAGCCCACCCACATCTATCTCATGTCAAAAAACCAGGGCAAGGAGCAGGAGGGAGGACCCAGAGGGTAAGGCTGTGACACGCACGGTGAAGAGAGGCCCCACTCCAGCGGGTTGGTGTGTGACCACACACACACACACACACACACACACACACACACACACACACACACACCAGCGCTGCGAATAGACACACTTTGTTGTTGCTTTGATTTTTTGACACAGGGTTTCTCTGTGTGGCTCTGGTTGTCCTGGAATTTGTTCTGTAGACCAGGCTGGCCTCAGACTCACAGAGATCCACCCGCTGACTCCCTAGTACGGATTAAAGATGTATGCCACCATGCCCAGCTGCATATAAAATTTTAACAAATGCCTATGGCATAAGTCACTATTTTACTCCTCCTCAGTTCAGAAGCCCAGCTCACTCTGCAGCCAACACACTGTCCCCAGAACTGAAACTCTGTCCCCATCACACACTAACTCCATTCCCTCCCCTGCCCAGGGCCCTCACCAAACCATTTCTTGTCTCTCTGGGTCTGATGACACCAACCCTGCGGTGTGTGGCCCATGACACTGAACATCATGTATCGTGTCCTCAGGGGCATTGGAGCAGAGGTCAGAATGCCCTTCATGGCTGTATTATATTCCAGCGAGTGGCTAGACCACATCATGTGTGCCCATTTGCTCCTTGGAGAAGTCTTTGGTATCTCCTTGACCAGTGACAACTACATGGCATTTTATTTTCAAAATGTCAGCGAACATGGGGTGGAGGAGGTGGGGGACTGTATCCCCCCTCCTGGGGAACACCGGCCCTCTGGCTGGCTCTTCGAGCCTCAGTGGTCATCACCTTTCTTGTGGTCAGTAGTGACCCTACACACACTGCTCATCTTCACGACCCCCTCTGCCAGGACCATGGTCCCGCCCACACGCCTGCACGTCATCCACCCACACTCACCTTGTCTCTTAGCAACGCTCCCCTGCATCCGCAGCCCTGGTCCAGCTCTCTCTCCACACCCTGGCGCTTGGTTTTCTGCCTTGTCTGGGGTCCAGCCTTGTGCCCCTGGCCCTCGGATAGTCTGCTGAGGGGTCCCCTGCCCCGCAGGGACAGGACTTGGGACAGTTGCTACGGGGCTCCTCGTGGTTTCAGGGAGCTGCACGGCCCAGATGGGACTCCATCTGGACTGAACTCACTAAATGTGGATTTCGCTGTTGCAGAAGCTCCGTGGTTTGGGGTTGCTAGGCGGGTCCAACTTAACTCTTTGTCACCTGGTGTGGACTCTTCTGCCTTCCCAGGGAGACACGGGTGGGCTTGGTGGAGGGGCTCAGTGCAGAGCAGTGAGCGTGGTGCATTTGCGCATTGAGGCTGGCTACCAATCCCCTCCACTGTGAAGCACTGAAACACTGTGCCCCTTAACCTGCCACAAAGGTGCGGGCTCTGGGCGCCGCCAGGAAGAGGATTTCTCCTTTAGTCCTCTAGGTGTGCCTCGTCTAGGTAAACGTAGCCCGCAGCAGACACTTTTCTTTCGGGGGGGGGGGCGGTTTATCGGATTTATCTGGTTTAGACGCTGAGCAGGGGTGGGTTGTGGGCGGAGGCTGAGAGGGAGGATTGCTGGTCGACTCTGACGGAGGTTGAATTTAGATTCGGGGTTCCACTGGGGGGAGCTCTGGGAGAATAAGGAACCTGGAAGGCAATCTTTCCCAAGGTCTGGGGCCTGAGCGGCTCCTCTTGCTCCCAGGCCCCTCCCCCAGGGGGCCCTAGCTGAGCACTCCTGACCAAGGACTTCCCAGGCTGGAGCTGGGATGAATCTTTGTGGGACTGGGCAGAGGGCAGCCACGGGGGCTGCTCAACCCCTGAAGCTCCGCCCATGCTCATGACGCACCTGGTGTGGGGAGGCTGAGGCCTGTGGGCACCCTACCCCCAGCCCAGAGTGAAGGACACGAAGGACACACCTCACACGAACAAATCTGCTTTATTCCCCACCCTAGCCAAGTTCTGGATGATTCTAGGCATTGCACCATGTGTGGGCTAGCCTTTAAAAGCCACAGGCAAAATGCAGCAGGGTCGAGCCTTGGGTGGTAACAGGGAGTAATGGGGCACAGCTGTTCCCACACCCAGTGGTCCACAGGTTGCCCTGGGGTGGATCGGGCTCTGTCTGCAGAAGGCACTCAGTGACTGGGGCTGGGGCTCCACTGTGGGTGACAGTGTCTGTCCCAGGTGCCATCTGTGCCCTCACAGCTGAGATGGGGTAAGGGATCTGTGTGAAGGATATGGTTAGGTTTGGGGTCTGGGAAATCCCATTCTGTGCTTTCTGCCCTCCACCCACACTCTGTGACTTCTAGAATCTTCCAGGCCATCCTTCCTGGCATTTCAAGAAAGCGATTCAGATACCACCTGCTTCTTATGACATCAGGGGAGTTTCAAGTGTAATTAGTACCAAGAAGTGGAGGTCACTGCTATGTGGCTGCGGGGGGGGGGGGGGGAGTGCGGGATGACAGAGCCATGGGCATCGGGGTCACCACAGTGGGACCCACAGCATTGTGAGTAAACCTACAGATCCACTGGCAAAGGTGCCCCACATCAGGGGGAACCAGCAACCAGAGGGCCCACAACAGTCAGGCCTGTGGTGATGGCTGCCTCACAGCGGCCCTGCTGTACCCTGCCGGCCCTGCTTCCTCTCCCGGGCGCCCTCCTGGTCCTCACTAGCCTCCCTCATCCTCTTCCGGGCCCGGGCCCCAAATCTGGTCCGTGGGGGTAACTGTTCCATGTGAAGGACCTTGTGTATCTGCCGGAAAGCCACGAGACGCAGGGCACGCTGTGGACAGCGGAGTCCTGTTAGTGTGTGCCAGCCAGGCCTGGGGGTTCAGGCCTGCTGTGTGCAGGGAGCAGAGCTGTTCTGTTTGTTATGATTTCTGGTGCCAGGCAGGTAGCCTGGGGGATGCCACCTCCAGCTGACGGCACAAGCTGGCATGGAGCCCTTGGGATTCCTTTACTTCCTGGCCAGAGGGACCCTGAATTCTGTGTAAGACACTCGACTACGGTGAAAGTGGGAATGTGTGAAACTTTGAGTATGTGTGACTGGGATACTTCCTTTGGGATGGGAACTCAGGTAGCCCAGGCTAGCCTCAAACTCTCTATGTAGCCAAGGATAGCCTTGAACTTCTGCTCCTCCTGCCTCCACTTCCACTGCTGGGGATGGGGTCTAGGGACCTGTGTATGATGGGAGGACGGGAGGATGGGAGGTGCCTGTGGCCCAGGCCAGTCAGTATACCCTCTGGAGCTGTTTTACACCCCCAGCCCCCCTCCTGGGTCCATGCTCTGTGGGAGGACAGGGACCCATGTACCTGTGCACTGGCTGTTAAGTCTTCTCGTTGCTGTGGGGTCATGGGCTCCAGAGCATCCTGGGGGCCTTTCTCACAGGGATCCTGTAGCCCTGGGCCATCTGAGGGGGGGCACCCTTGTGAGGGACTAGTGGGACACACTGAGCCACCTTGCTATGGCAAGTGACTATACTTGTAGTCTGTGCAGTGTCTGCATTAACCCACAAGCCACATTGGGCAAGGTCTGCCTTGGTAACACACAGCCACCCCTGGGGTGCATTACATGGGCCCCCTGTGGTCTCTTTGTACCTGTGCATGTGTTCATGCCCCAGCCTGTGTGACAGCCCACGTGACAGGCCTGACCTTTGACCCTCCTTTCCCACTCAGAACCACCCATATAGGCACACCTTTCCAGGGCCCACTCCTGTCCCTTCAGAAGGCACTGTGACACTTCCTGCTCTTCAAACTCCTTATGTAGTAGAGGCTGACATTGAACTCCTGACCTTCCTGCCTCAGTCTCCCAAGTGCTGGGGTGACAGGTGTGTGCCAGGACTGTGAAGTACTGGGGACGGGACCCACAGTCTTCAGGCAGGCTAGGCAAGTGCTCAGACCACTGAGCCACAGCCCAGTCCCATGTCGTGACTCCATAGTCAAGCAGAGGCCTGTGGCTTCCCTTGAACCTCATTCATGCTTCAGATGTACTTGGAGTAGGCAGGCACCAGCTGCATCAGCCATAGACGATGATGTAGCCAGTGGTGTGGATGTTGGTGACACATGGTGACTAATGGGCAGCCCTGGCTTGGGCACAAGACAGACTGCTATCCTTGCCATCCTGTTGTGTCCCTAGAGGATGGTGGCACACCTCTGCCCTTCCTGCTGTAGGCTATGGGTCACACGTCCAGTGTGTGTGGGTGACCCGTTCTTCTTGTGCCTATGACTTAGCCTCCCCCACTCCATTCTTGTCGCCATCACTGACCTGTCAGGAGTGCGCCTGTGGCCACATACTCCAGGACCCGCCGCATAGCATCCCCGGGGCTCAAGGGCCGGGGTGCACTGCTCAGCACCTTTTCTACCAGCAGCTCCATGGCCTGAAGGGAACACAGGGATGGGGGGGGGGAAGGGACACAATGGGACACACTGTGGCCAGGCCAGGCCAGGTTCAGGGTCCTATGATAAGGGGTATGAGAGTTCTAGGAACACCCTGGCTCCTTGCTCTGACAGGTATGTGTGACAAGAACACATTTGCCTAGGACACCTGCATTTGCATAGGCTCTGAACTTCACCCCCCAATTTGGCAACAATCAAACATGACAGTGACCCAAGGTGTCTTCTCATTTTGAAGGGCCTGGTGGCATGCGTCTTGTTAGAGCTCCCATCTGCCCACTCTGGGTTAGCCAGGCTGAGTAGTGGGGACTTCCCCTTGTGGTTCTCAACTGTCCCCTTCGGCCTTACCCAGGCAGGAAGAGCCCCCCAGGGGGGCAGGCAGCGACAGAGCTCCCGCAAAACCCTGATGACAATCACACATGGCTGCAGGCCACTGGCTCGAGCCTTGGGGAGGAAACACACTGTTGGTCAGTGGGAGCCTGGGATAGACTGTGGATGGTAACTGTCCCCACTTCAGCCTCCTCATGCTGACCTGGAACCACTTGGCATGACGGAGGGCTGCCAGGGTCTCAAGGCATCTTTCCCGGTCCAGGACATCCTCTGGGTCAGACAGAGAGTCTTGTAGTCCTAGAAGGGACAGAACACTGGGTCCCTTCCTGCTGAATCACAGCCTCACAGGGGGGCCCTGTCCCTCTGCACTGCACACACTGGCCTCAAATGAATAGCCCTCCACACTCAGTTCCCTGAGTGCTGGGATTAAGGGCTGACACTATGCCCAGCACCTACAGTATTTGTATCAAATATTAGACAATACACTGTCAAAATAGGTGACAGCCCTGCAGGTCTGGGACCTGGTCTCAGGAAGGGACACTGTTCCTAAACCACACAGGCTGGGGCATGGCTCAGTGGGGGAGGACTTTCCAAGCATGTACAAAGGCCCTGAACCATCAGCCCTTAGCTCCACCGCCCCAGATTTGACCCCATGTGACCCCATAAGACCCAGAGACACTGAGGCCACCAGGCCTTCCTGCCCAGGACAGGGTGTATCTGCTGCACCCTGGAGACTTAGGGCAGCAAGTTACGGCACACCTCGTTTTATGGAGGGGTCTTCACGCATCAGAGGTGAGGTGGCAGACACAGTGACCTTCACTCCGGGCTCCACACAGGCAGAGATAACAATGTTGGCATCGTGGTCAGATGAAACTTCATACTTGTCTTCTGCCACTATCTGGGTGCAAACATGACATAAGGCCATATGACTCCAGCAAAGAGCCCAGTGTATACAAGTAGGGAATGCTATTGGCACGTGTACCGATTTGTCCACATTTGTGTGCCCGTTGCTAGGAGACCAGGCCCTGTGGTGGGAACTCACATGTGACTTAAGACCCACAGGGGGAGCAAAAGTGGGAACACTGAAGAGCCTTTGTATGTAAAGAGTACCTGTTGCTCAATAAGACAAGCAACTTATTAGAGAAAAAACTGGTGATGAACAAAATACCAGCAGAAAAGGAAGGAAAACAAACGGCCCTTTTCAGTCACCCCTTTGGTCAGACAGAAGGAAACTGTCAAGCTGCCACTGACACCTGTGAGTACAAAATCCAGGATTTACGTGTGTGTGTGTGTGTGTGTGTGTGTGTGTGTGTGTGTGTGTGTGTGTGTGTGCATGCACATGCTGTTACTGGGAATGGAATGGAGAACAGAGGCCAGCACCTGCAAGAAATCACTCCAGGCCCAACCCTGGCTAGAGCTTGCCATCCTTCTGCCTCAGTTCCTGGAATGACGGGTACACAGCCAATTCCTTTCTTTTGTGTGTATCAGGGACAGAGACTTAAGTCAGGCTGTTTCTCAATTGCTTTTCCACCTTGGTTGGTTGTTTGCTTGCTTGTTTTTTGTTTGGTTGCTTTGGTTTTTAGAGACAGGGTTTCTCTGTGTAGCCCTGGCTGTCCTGTAATTCACTCTGTAGATCAGACTAGCCTTGAACTCAGAGATGAGCCTGCCTCTGCCTCCCCAATGCTGGGATTAAAGGCATGAACCACCACCCAGACTATGACTGGCTTTTTACATGGGTTACAGAAATCTGAACTCAGATCCTAATGCATATGTAGGAAGTGATGGAGTCACCTCCCAGCCCTGCAGGTCTCTCCATCCTCTGTACCTGCAGGCTCTGGCTGGGAGCCTGAGGTCCAGCCTTGCTCTTACCGACAGTTCTCGGGGCAGCTCTTGCTTGATCCTCTGTAGAAGGGAGTGTGTGGGCTTCTTGGAGCACAGCAGGGTTAGCTGCACACTGTGGTCCCCACGTAGGACCAGCCCCTTGGCCAGAATGCCAACTCGTACCACACCTTTGAGCATCCTGGGTGGTGGAGGTGCCAGAGTGCTGAGGACACAGAGAGGCAGCACACATCAACAGGGAGGGACAGAAGGCCCTAGGGTGCTGCACTCCTGAGCTCTAGGAACCAGGTCCCTCTGCAGGGGATGCTGGCTGATGGGAATGAAACATACCTTCACCCCCAATATTCACCCTGCAGTCCCATGCAAGCAATCCCATCACTGAAGAGACCAGACATCTACCTATCTATGATCTATCTATCTACCTACCTATCTATCTATCTATGATCTATTTATCTATAATCTATCTATATCTTCTACTTACCTACATACCAACCTACCTATCTATATCTGAAACAATTGCTCTCCATGTAGCCCAGGCTGGCCTCACACTCACAGCAACCTTCCTGTTTCAGCTTCCTGAGTCCTGGATTTATCAGCCCCTACACATGGGGGTGGGCGTGGCAGAGACTTCGCCATGAGAAGCCTTGAGGGGACTTGAGACAAAGGGGGTGGAACAGAGCTTTAACCCTGCGGCACCCATGGCTTGTGGTGCGGCACTAACCTATGCTGGCTGCTCTCCTCGGCCAGTGTGTCCGACACCAGTCTGAGGGCACGTTCTGTGTGGGACACGGCCGTCTGGATGGCCTGCAGCTCCTCCTCAGTGGGGTAGATGGAAGCATGTTTGCACATGACATGCCGGTCGTCGTTGCTCTCTGGCCGGCGCCCTGACTGTGGGGAGAGCTACCCTCATGAAAGGTGAGCTGGGGACAAGACAGCCAGCCCTGGTAGGTCTGTGGAGTATGTACAAGGGCAAGGCAGGCCGCAGGGAGCCTTGGCAGGTAGGGGGTGGCTGTGGCCAGTCTCTGAGCAGCTCCCACAAGGAAACATGTGTGAGGGGCTTGGGTCTGGGTGGGGTGGCTCTCCTCTGACCATGTTCTCCCTTTTGCAGGTCAGAGGCTAGGCCCCTGGGGCATGTCCCCAAGCAAGAGGTCAGCCTTAGGGACCTACTCAGCCTGAGGACAGACGTTTGTGGAGAACTGGAGGGAGGCACAGTGTGGGACAGACATGCATGTGACCTGAGGCTTGGCAGGCATGACATGCCACGCTGGACCCAGGCACTAAATACCCTTCAGGGTCCTGTGCCCTCTGAGCTGGCTCCAGAGGTCTGGTAGGGACTGAGATTCCTACATGACTTATCAGCACCTGGCACCCACCTGACGCCGGGTGGTGGCCATCCCTGGCTTGGCAGTGGGGGTTGGCAGGGCCCAGGTGGGTAATTCAGGTGGCTGTTCATCAACCTGGGGCTGTGAGGGCTCCTTAGGCTGTCTTCTCTGTTCTTCTTGCTGTCTGTTGTGACCAGGTGGGGGACACAGGGATGTGGTCACCAGATAACCCTACAGACACACTCCAGCTCCAGGGACCAAGTCACCACAGAGAGGGTCTAAAGGGGAGCATCAGAGCTCAATGGTGGCATCAGAGGTTGGGGGACATGGAGCATCAGAAGACAGCGGACATGGGAGGTATCAGAAATCAGGGGGTGACAGAGGATGAAGGATTGTGAGGAGGCCAGAGGGACATGACATCATGGTCACCTTAGCTCAGAGTTCCAGCGCCGTGCATCCTCCAGTCTTGCCTGTGCCAGCTGCCGCTGCCTCTGCAGCCGCTTGACTAGCACCCTCTGCATGGGGCCGCAGGGCCGGGCAGCTACCGGAAGTGTAGGGTCCACTTTCTTCTGCAAAGGCAAAACCAGATAGATGGTGATGCCAGGAGGGACAGACAGATGCGGTGGCCACCTAACAGGCACAGAGGAACCCCAACTAACACCCGCCAGCTGTTCTTACAAACTCACAGCTCTACCAGAGTAGCAATGGAAGGGGTGTGCTGAGGGCGTCAGCAGATGACACGCAGTTCACAGCAGCCAAAAGGGGGACTTTGGGAAAGGCCCTGCCAAGGAACTGGGGGCTTAGTTTAGGTGACTAAGACTGCTATGAGGTCACCCCTGGGCCACTGACATTTACACTCTGTCCAGCTAGCCCAAGCACCAGACAGGTCACAAGTGCAGCTCTACAGAGACAGCCACCAAGAGGTGTGCTCTGTCTGCCCAAGTTCAAGCCACATGTGCTCAGCTAGTGAGGAGGTATGACAGCTAGGCACAAGGCTGGGGTTCTCATGTGCCCCAGGTATAGAAAGAACATCTGCAGAATCTCCTGCAGAACTGGACCAGTGAGGATCAAAGCTATGGATGTGTCTGCCCAGCCCCCACCTGTCCATGCACTATCCATGCACCACACACCTCAAGGCCCCTGCCCCTCTCCCTGTTCCTCTTCATTGCGGCTAGGCTCACTTCTCTCCCAGATACCTTACCAGCCATCTTCCCACACCCTATCTCCTGGTCCTGGCTGGCCTCTGGTGCCCCTGCTGGACATACCCTGTACTGCAGCCGGTGCCGGCGTCCAGTCAGGTGCATGTCTCTAGCATTGCGGTCATTGAAGTTGCATTCACAGAGCTTACATCGGAAGCGGATCACCTTCCCCTCATCACTGCGCATCTGGGACAGAACACAGCCTAGCTTTCCACTGCACTGGAGGACGCTGGGCCTCCTTGGGGGCAGTGGCTGGCAGGGTGGTGACGCTCCACAAAGCTGGTGTTGGAAGCCCAGGTTCTGCCCCAGACCTAGTCCCTTCCTCCCCCAGTAGCACCAAAGGGTGCAAGAGTCCACATCCCATGATGCCTTTGCTGGCTGCCAGGCACTTTCTTTGGTCCCCCATGGCTTCTGTCTAATGCACTTGACCAAGTGGCAGGCTACTACATTTGTCCCTAGCTGGTGAGCCCTGCACTGGACAAAGTGTAAGGTTCAGGAACACGTGGATAGAAGACCTGTCACTGTCACTTTGCACACACCCATATGAGGGACACCCTAGTGCTGTTGGGGCAGTCTGGCAGGTAGGGGCCATGGAGTGGACTCTGAATGGAGAAGGATCTGTCCATCCTGGGTGTCTGCATGGTGGCCAGCAAGGACACTCCTTGGTCTGGCATTTAGAATCCAGGATCTCAGGGTGGAAGGGATCTGGCTGGTTCTCCTAGGAAAGGCTGGCCAGGGTGTGGAAGCCACCTGAGATGAACAGGGCTTAGGTCTCTGGTGTCCCAGCCTGGCCTCAGTGGGCCCCTGAGGTTGGACAGGAGGGTCTTGGTGCCTGGCTAAACTCTCCCAGCCCAGCTACTCTTGGCACTCCCTGAGTTGGTGTGACAGCACCTGGTGAGCCACAGTCGCCACTGTCACAACCACCACAGGCCAATCTCAACAGACCCTGGGCCCTCTGCTACCAGGACTCAGTGTCCAGCAGCTTCACTGACCTCTTCCACGTACTCTGTGCCCACTGGCTCGATGTTCCCATAGGTCCCTGAAGCTTCCCCAGGGCATCTCCTGATGGCCTCTGCCTTGGTGTATGATGGTCTCTTTTCTCCAGGTCGGATATGCACTGTCTGGAGCTCAGGTGGCCCTGCCAGAAACCATGGCTGGCTGCAAACCAAGGCTCTCCCCATCCCTTTCCCATAATGCCATGGGAATCTGAACCAGAGAGGCAGTGGCCCCTTCCTCCCTCCTGTGGAAACTGTTACCAGCAACATGGAGTCATGTAGCCATGGAAGGGTAGGTGTAATGTCACAGGTCTATGTGGTAACACAACTCAGTACGAGGAGAGTGAGCTACCCCGCACATTGCCACTGACTAACAAAGACTGGTCACCTCGAGGGAGCACTAAAGGACAGGGACCTTTTATTCAAACTAAGTTTCCACAGAGCTGATGGCACACACCCTGCTCATAAGACTGAAGCAGGGGAATCACCAGTTCCAGGTCACCATGGGCCACACACTGAGATCCTGTCTCAAAAACCAAGAGATAACTGGGCGGTGACATAAGTTCTAAATCCCAGCACTTGGGAAGCAGACACAGGTGGATCTGAATTCAAGTCTAGTCTGGGCTACAAAGCCAGAAAAAGCTCCATGACAGCTAGGGACCCTATCTATACAAAGAAACCCTGTCTAAAAAAACAAAACCAAACAAAGAGACCCCCCCAAAATATCTAAAAGCTGGGGGTGTGGTCAAAGACCTGCCTAGAATCCCCCAGTGAGGGGCTGTGGATATGGTCAACTGCTCACATGTACAGAACTGGAGAGACCTGTACCCTTGCGTGAGGCTGTTGATCCTTTGGCTGGTGCTGGCCGGCCTGAGGTGTGTGAGCTGTGACTGGTGTGAGCTTCATGCTTGACTGAGATCTCAGAGGTGCTGTCGGAGCCTCGGGTGTAGGTGACACTCCGTGGTGTGGGCTCGGAAGGAATGGGCTTTCCTAGCTTGGTGTGCAACTTGAAGACCTGCAATGGACCCCACAGCCCTCAGTCAAGAGCAAATTTAGGAAACAAACTGAACTTGCTGCTGGAGTGGAATGTCGGGGCCATGCCCTGATTCCTGTAGAACCACCCCCGTACCTCAAAAAAATCCTCCTGGAGCCACCTGCTGCCTATGGTCCTATTGATGTCTCCTACCTCTAGGACAGCCTTCTCTCTGGCTCCCAAGCTGGAGTAGTCAGTGACTGTGTGTGCATGGATGTGTGACTTGAGGGACCCTTGCTGAGACACACACACATGTCCTAGATACACCCAGACTCAGGCCACAGTGCCCCCACCCAAGGTCTCTACCTCCAGTCATATCAGCACACTCAGTCAATACGCCCAACCCCGCTGTGGCCCCTCCAGCTGCCCCTGCCCAGCGTTCACAGCTGGCCTGGGAGGCTCATACCTTCTGGTGCCTGGCTCCCCTCATGTGGGCAGCATAGGCATCCGCCCCAGTGCAGGACACGCCACAGAGTCCACAGTGCAGGCTCTGGGACCCTCTTGGGCCTCCGCTGGGCTGTGCGCCTGTCCTCTGAGCAGCCTGTTTTTTCCGGTGCTTCTGTCCTTCCAGGTGGTCTCGATAGGTCTGGGACAAAGTGAGGTGGTCTCAGTGGGTGGCCCCACCAGGAACCACACAGCTATCATCTGGGAGCTCAGGGGGCCACACAGTCCCTGGTTTCCTTCCACTACTTGTGCCCAAGAAATGAGTGACGGTCCTTAGTTGGAAGAGGCAGGGCGCATCGCCCTCTCCCCTGACCGAAAGTCCAACCGGGTTTCTCAAGAAAATATTCACCAAAGGTCAAGTATTTTGTCTGGGAACAGGGGCCTGCCACCAATGAAACCTGGCTTTTCCAGTCTGGGGCTGAGGTTCAGGACAAAGGCCTTAGTTTTATCCCCAGGAGCCAGATGTGGGGTTGCAAGCCTATCCTCTGAGGACTCAAAAGTATGTATGAGTGTGGCGTGTGTCTGTGCATCTGGGTGTGTGTGTATGTATGTATATATATATATATATATATATATATATATATATATATATATATCTGTGTATAGTGTATATCTGTGTGTGTGTTTCTGTGTGTCTCTGTGTGTGGTGTGGTGTGTGTGTGTATCTGTGTGTCAATCTGTATTTGGTGTGTGTGGTGTGTGTGTATCTGTGTGTGGTGTATGTCTATGTGTGGTATGTATCTCTGTGTGTGTGTGTGTGTGTGTGTGTGTATCTGTGTGTGGTGTATGTCTATGTGTGGTATGTATCTGTGTGTGTATCTGTGTGTGGTGTATGTCCGTCCATGTGTGGTGTGTATCTCTGTGCGTGGTGTGTGTATCTCTGTGCGTGGTGTATGTCTATGTGTGGTATGTATCTGTGTGTGTGGTGTGTGTGTATATCTGTGTGTGGTGTATGTCCGTCCATGTGTGGTATGTATCTCTGTGTGTGTGTGTAATCTGTGTAGTAAGTATCTCTGGATGCCAGCCTATCATTCTGACAGGTTATCTCTCATTGCTTTCTTTTCCATCACATTGTTAGTAAATTTAATTGAATTCTGCATGGGGTGTTGCCTGTGTGTGATTGTGCCCGCATGGCCAGCAGAGGGAGCTGGTCCCTGGAACAGTAATTATAGGGTATAGAACACATCAGGTGGGTGCTGGGAATAACCTGGGGCCTGAGGAAGACTGGCTGAAACCGGGCTCACATAACCTAGGTTGGCCTCAACCTGAGCATGTAGCTGAGGATGACCTGAATTCCTAATCCCCACCTCTCTCACCCCTAACTCCACCTCACCCCTGCTCCACTTCGGATGCAACAGGCCTGCACCACACCTGCCACTGTTTTTGATAGATGGTGACACTGGGCCACCCACTAGCAGTCCTGACCTGCGGCCCCGCACAGCTGACCCTGCAGACCTCGCAGTAGTGCATGGAGGGTGGCCTGGGGCACGCCTTGGGCTTCGGCAGTCCATCCAGGAACGGCAGCGTGTCACTTGTAAAGCTGGGGTCCCAAGGCCCAAGGCCTGGGCCACCCCAGGGGTCTGAGCCCACAGATGTGGTTGGGGAGGCCTGCTGCTTCTGGGGAACCCGCTGAGACTTCAGTGGGCGGTCAGAGCAGTGGGAGCTTGGGCCTAGGAGGGAGAGAGATAGAACACTTAGCCAGGCTTGCCCAGAGCAGGTCCCCTCCAGGGAGTGGATGCCTCACAGGGGATAGAGTGGGCCAAGGTGGGTACAGTAGTCCAGGTTGGACACTCATGACCACTGTGGCACCAGGACAAGTCAAGCTGGTGGGTCAGCCTTCTCTGAATGGGCCAGACTGTCTGCAATGGCTTCGAGCCTGTGGCCTCCTGTGGCCCCCAGGGAGAGTTTTTGGCCGGGCTACAGCTCAGTTCAAAACTCAATGCAATTTAAAAGCTGACACTGGAGCTGACAAGATGGCTCAGTTGATAAAGGGGCTTGTGGCCAAGCCTGCTGTCCAGACTCCACTTCTGGGACCCACATAATAGAAAAACCTCCTGAAAGTTGTCCTCTGCCCTCCACATGCACCAACAGGAACACAGCGAAAAGTAAATGGTATAAAAACAAACATAAAAAGACATAAGACTGCTATGTGGTGGTGGCACTCAGGAGGCAGAGGCAGGAGGATCTCTGTGAGTTCGAGGCCAGCCTGGTCTACAGAGCTAGTTCCCGGATAGCCAGGATATACAAAGAAACCCTGCCTCAAAAAAACAAAACACAAACAAACAATGGGAGTCTAGCCAGAAGGTGCCCTGCTTGCTCTTGTCCAGCACAGGCCTGTCATGTGTGCTCTATACTGAGCCAGAGTGGTCCCTGTGAGGTTCATGGCTACCCTGGCCCCTCAGAGACCTGACACCCACCTGGCCGGCAGAGTGAAGCTGTGGCTGGCTGCTCTGAGGTGTTCTCACACCCCCTGGTCCCCTCTGACTCTCGGCAGCTGTGACCATCCTGTTGCAGAATTCCACGGAACACAGAAAAAAGGAAGCAGCTCAGTGGGGTGGGTGAGGCACTGGGGACACTGGGGTGGGAGGACACACTGGGGACAGTGGGATGGGCCACTGAGGGGTCTGTGTGATTAAACATGGGAGGGGCAGTGCTCTATGGCGTGAACCCTGTTCGTGTAATGTATTTTGACAGAACAGGGTCTCATAGCCCAGGCTGCCTGGGGCTACCACATAGCCTTGTGACCTTGAACTCCTGACTCTCCAGGAGCTGGCCCTAGGCCCTGTGTATGTAATGCTGGCTATGGGCAAGTGTGCTGCCCACTGAGCTACATTCCCAGCCATTAAAAAACTAACTTCATGTGTTTATGAATTCACTGTGTGTGTGCATATACATGAGTAAGCATGGGGTGTCACAGTATACATGCAGAGGTCAGAAGACAATTCATGAGAGTCAGCTTCTTTCCACTCCATGGGTCCTAGGGATCAAATGCTGGCCATCAAATTTAGTAGCAAGTGCCTTTACCTACTGGCCATCTTGCCAGACCCATATTTTTTTTTCCATTTATTTATTTTTTACAAGACAGGGTTTCTCTGTATAGCCCTGGCTGTCCTGGAACTCACTGTAGACCAGGCTGGCCTCGAACTCACAGAGATCCTCCTGCCTCTGCCTCCTGAGTGCTGGGATTAAAGGAGTGCACCACCACACCTGGACCCTAGTTTTGCTTTTTTTGAGGCAGTATCACCCCACCCCAGGATAGACTCAACTCCCTAAACAAATGGTGGGCCTGAGACACTGTTCTAGTGACACTGAGGCAGGGCTGAAAGAGAAATTAGGAGCACACAAGAAGGGAAAGGAAACCCCTTGCCATGGATGGCAGGGCCTCCTGTGACGCACACCCCAGGCACCACAGACATGGGCATCAACCATAGTTATCCCTGTGACCTTCAATTCTGCTGCCCTTCAGAACCATCCAGGGCTGAGGTGGCACTCAAAGGCCACCAAAGCCTCCAAGACTCCGGAGAAAGCCCAAGCTGTACGGGTGTGACCGTTTCCTCCTGAGCTCCCCATCGCAGCCCTCCTGCTTGTGCCCCTTACTGAAATCTCTTGAATGACAGTCCCAATTCTGATACATGACCACCCAGCCCCAAAATTCTTCTCAGCGTGGAAGGAGTCCAGGTCTGGCCTGAGTCAAGGCACTCCCAAATGTTGGCAATGTGAGCCAGGGATGAGAGCTGCGTGGCAAGCACCAAGTCCTGGCACCCCATAATCACTGTCTGCTGGGGGAGATTCTCAGAATCACTCAGGCTCTTCCTGGGGCCACCGCCTGGCTGGGCCACAGCTCTGTACACCTTGGTGTCTTCAGAAATCCTTCTGGGCTCCTTGGGAGGTGTCATCGTAGTGGCTCCTGTTACCCCAGAGCAGGTCCCTAGAAACGCAACTCTGACATAGCTGATATCAGAGACACCATGCATGTCCCCACATGACACACATTTCCTTGTGGTGTGGAGGTCTGGAGATACTCAGTGGCTAGAGCACAAGCTGCTCCCACAGAGGACCCATTTCAGTTCCCAGCACCCGCATGGCAGCTCACAACCATCTGTGACTCCAGCTCCAGGAGGTCTGACACCCTCTTCCAGCCTTCATGGGCACTGAACATACGTGGTATCATACAAACATACAGGCAACACATTCATATATAAAAATAAAATAAAACCTTGTTGCATGAGGTGGTACCTGGTGGGTAGATGCAGTAGTGGCCATGGGGACAGGATCCTGGGGACGGCTGTTGGATATGGAGTCCTGGCTGGAGTGAGGCTGGGGGCAGCCATACCCCGCTTGGACTCCGCCTCCGGGTGCAGGTGGCTGGGTGGCAGGGGCCAGGGCCCGGTTGGCATTGCTGTCCGTTCCAGGGGTGCACTGCATGGCACAGCTGGCCCCAGCAGCCGGGAGGAGTGAAGCTGAGAAGGGCTTGGTGCTGGGGCCACCAGGGCACAAAAGGTAGAGGGGTTAACAGGGACTCTGAGATACATGCTCCCAGGGCAGCGACTTGGCCAGGCCAGCCTCTCACTCCTATGTGGCCACAGACCACATTGTCCTGCAGCTCACACTAACTAGATGGCTTGGTCAGCAAGCCCTAGAGATACTCTTATGTCTGCCTCCTGACACCAGGTACATAGGTGTGTGTCATCGTCGATGGATGCTGGGGATTCGAACTCAAGTCTTTACACTTGTGCGGCAGGCTCCATATCCACAATTATAGCCCAAGAAACTCAGGTAGGGTGAGCATACCTGCAAGCAGGCATGGTGGTGCAGGCCTGGCTATCCCAGCTATTCTGGAGGCTGGAAGACTGTGAGCTCTGGGCTAGCCTATGATATGTTGAGTTGTTGTGTTTTTATTTTATGCATGTACCATGTGTGTGGCTGGTGCCCACAGGGGCCAGCAGAGGGCGCCAGGTTCCATCACTGAAGGTGGAAACAGTGAAGCAATGTGAATGGCAAGAATAGGCAGCCACTGAACTTCATTCAGCAAGGCCCCCAGTGCCTTGAACACTGGGAAGACAGCACCAACAGCCACCAAGTGCAGCTGTCCTTTCCAGGAAGGACCTCCTGGGCCACTGGGGATGTGATTCCATTGTTTGCTCCACAGTGGAGGTTCACCAGGGACTACTGATTCCTGCTTTCACCTCCAAAGTGCTGAGAGGGGTTCTGCTAATGTGTGCTCTACCCACCAGTGGCCACCAGGGACGCTGAACTCAGAGACCCCAGGTGGGAGCAGAAGAACGCACATGCCACGATGATGTCGATCAGTGTGAGTTCTGAATCAGTAAAAACTGGGGTCACAGCAGAGGATTCTGAGGCACTTGCTCACGGGCTCCCTGAGGAGTCGGAGGTGGGGGCACATGCAGGGTTCAAAAACTGGGCCTGGCTTAGAAGATGCCAGGACCAGGGCAGGTGACAGCTAGCAGGCTGGGCTGCCTGAAGGACAGTGGTCCTAGTGACAGGCTCCAAGGAACAGGTAGTGGACACCCCTTTTCCTGGGCAGTTTCTGGTCAATTTGACACAAGCTGGAGTCATCAGAGAGCCTCAATCAAGAAAACTCTCAAGACTAGGCTTTATTCAAGTCTGGAGGGCATTTTCTGAGTGATTGATGGGGAGGGTTCCACCCACTGTGGGTGGGGCCACTCCTGGGCTGGGCTGGTTATCCTGGGTTCTAGAAGAAAGCAAGTGAGCAAGCTATGAGGAGCAGGCGCCCTCCATGGCCTCTGCATCAGCTGCTGCCTCCAGGTCCCTGGTGCCTTCAATGAGGGACAGTGAACTAAAGGGTCTCCTTCCCAAAGACTTTTGGTCACTGTGTTTCGACACAGACCCTGACTAAGAGAGAAATGGGTGCCAGGTTCGTGGGGTTTGCTGAGACAGACCTGCAATGTCCTGGGGAGGACTGGGGAAGCCACGGAGCGCTCACCACCCCCAGAGAACTAAGAGGACGCTCTCACAGACAGCATCGAGAGTGGTACAGCCGGTACAGGCCTGGCTTGTGAAGTATGGAAGGAAGGCCCTGAGGTGACATTTGCAGTTCTGAATTAAGAATGTGTGGCCCTGATAGCTGAAGCTAAAGACTCGGCTATGATGAGTAAGGACCCAGCAGCACTGAGGTAAAACTTTCTGGGGAGTGTCTCCTGAGAGTCTGTGATCCAGAGGTGGCCAAAGCTGACACTTGGTAATATGTTAGCGTCGCCCAGGTGGTACTGGTTTTGAAGGCATGAAGGCGTTATGGACAGCATAGACGTTTGACACTATGAGAGGCCAGGAAAGGCCACTGTGCAGGTGGAGCCTCGGTGGCAGCTGAAGGCCCAGGACTGAAGGGATCACGCAAAGAAATGGGAGCTTCACAGAAGGAGAGTCTATGAGAGGCTAAAGGTGAAAGTGCAGCCCGGCTGCAGCAGAAGAGCCCAGCATGTTAGAGATGCCAGTGCCGTGGGATAACCACCAAGAACAGGAATAGCAATGAAGTGGAGGCAGCCTGAGCCTAGAAGAGGAGCCCTGTGTGCTGCAGAGGGCGGGGCTGGAGAAGTGATCCAGCCCTTGGAGGAGCCCAGAAGATGGGAGTCCTAGACATTGGACATTGAGTTGTTTACACTATTGGAGTTTGGTTTTACCTTGTTCCAGTTGGCACTGTGCACTGGTTCTTTCCTCTTCTAATAAGAAAGAGTTAGTTTTTTGATTTTACAGGAGTCCACAGTTGAGAGTCTTTGAATTTTTAAAGACATTTTGGAGTTTTACAGACTTCAGATTTCATTAGTTATTATTATTACTATTGTTGGTGTTCTTATTTTGTTATTTGTTTTGTTTTGTCTGTTTTGTTTTTGTTTTGTTTTTGTTTTTTGAGACAGGGTTTCTCTGTATAGCCCTGGCTGTCCTGGAACTCACTCTGTAGACCAGGCTGGCCTTGAATTCACAGAGATCTGTCTGCCTCTGCCTCCTGTGAGCTGGAATTAAAGGCGTACGCCACCACTGTCTGCCTCAGTTACTGATTTCCAAAGACCAGAGCCTCACTTCATCAGAACACCCAATCCATACCCACCTGAAGGGTTCCCCATCCATCATATACCTGAACCCCCAATCCATACCCACCTGGAGGGTCCTCCATCAGGAACCAGGGCTCCCCCTACATCCCCATCTAGAGGGTCCCCATCTACTAGACATCAGAACTCCTGACTGGTTCCCTGCCCTGTCGACTCTCTCATCCACAGGGACCAAAACTCCTTCCTCCTCCCCATCTGGAGGATTCCCCCATCCATTAGACATCAAAGCCCCAGGCTCCATCCCCTTCAGGAGTGTCCCCAGATACTAGACACCAGAACCTCTGCCTCTATCCCAGTGGAGGATCCCCCATTCATTAAACATCAGAAACCCAAATCTGTTCATCAGACTCCAGAACCCCACCCCCCACCCTATCCGCATTGGAAGCTTCCCCAAGGTCTCAAGTCCTCTCAGAGGTCAGTCCCCTCTCCCTGCTCTGTCTTCCAGTCCCCATCCTCCCCAACCCAAGTCGGTCCCTCCTAGGCTGGCCGGGTCCCCACGGGGTCCCCGCCCCCACCCAGCCCATCATTCCATGTTACCCCGCCCCGCCCTCCCGCGGACCCCAGGGACCGTCGCCCCGCCCCGGGCCCGCCCCGCTCCCCGCGGCTCATCACCGCTTCCCGCGGGATTGGGGCACCCCGCCGCCCGCGGGACTCGTTACCTGGACGACGGGCCGGCGCCCTGCGCGAGCCCGGTAGAGCTGCTGGCCGCCATGTCCGCGTCCTCCCCGAGCCCGCGGGAGTGACGTCACGGCACTGCTCCCGACGAATCTCCTCGTACCCGTCCAAGCCCCGCCCAGGACCCGCCCCCGTCCCCGCCCCCGCCCGAACCTACCATCCCGAACCACTGAGGGACTCAGCCAGGTCACGCCCACTGGCCAAGCCCCGCCCCTCCCGGACACACCATCCCTTCCCCTTTCACAAGCCCCGCCCCTGCTCCGACCGCTCACCCACCGTGGTCCCCTGTGATGATGAAAGGACTACTTGGGAAAGTCGGTGCCTCACACCCGCCACCCGCCACGCGCCCCGTGGGACCGAGCTCCAGCTGTGGGGCCTGGCCGCAAGCCCCTTACCTGCTGGTCCACATCAGCAGCCTGCTGCGACCTCTCTGTGAAGCCAGGCGGAGGGCGGGAGCCCCAAGGCTAAGAGGGCACGTGGGTGGCATGTGACCTTCCCTGTCCTGAGCAGCCCCTTAGCCCCACGACTTTCTAGAAGGCTGCGGCAATTTCTCTGGATTACATATGATCTTTTCTACTATTATTTATTACAAACCTTGTGCCCTTGATTTCTGTCCCCAGGAGTCCCCAACGGCATCAGGCATACAAACGACTGGTTGTCCTGGAACTTGTTCTAGAAGTGTGCACACTGACTTATCCGTACTGAAGGAAACACAAAATGGAGTATTACTCAACCCAGAAGAAGGAAGGAAACCCGGAGACATGCTCCAACAGGGATGGATGTCCCTTGAGGACAGCATGTCAGTGTCATAAGCCCTAAACAGAGGGCAAGTCCCACTCCCGGGAGGTCCCTGAAGTCGTCAGACCCTCAAAGTAGGTGATGGAGTCAGTGTGGGATGGGAAGGCAGCTGCAGGATGGGGAGATGGTAAGTTCTGGAGATAGATGGTGGGGACGTCCACATTGACATGAATGAACTTCGTGCTCACTGAGAAAAGCCACATCATGTGGGAACCCATAGTGGGAAATGCCTAGAGCAAACTAACGCAGAGAGAGGCAGCAGTGGCCTATCTGGTGCACACTCACACGTCAATTATAAGAAAGCGCAGACCCTGTGGCGGGACGGATTTTATGTTCTCACTACAAGCGCAGACACAACCTCGGAGGTCCACTCCAGTTCAACAAAGTGATGGGTGGGAGCTTAAGCCCGGAGCTTGTATTCTCTTATACTTTTAGGGATCAAAGTCTGGGCATTGGCTCTTTATGGACTCAGGGAGCATCATTCTATTTTCTAGAGGAATGACAGTTCTCAGCCTCTACACGGAAACCCCATCTACCCAGCATCCCCAGCCCCTCACTAGGGGATTCTAGGCACCGACTCCACCCTGACCACGCCCCCAGCCTCTCACTAGGGATTCCAGGCGGGGCTCCACCCTGACCACGCCCCAGCCCCTCACTCGGGGACTAAGCGGGACTTCACCCTGACCATGCCCCAGCCTCTCACTAGGCGGGACTCTACCCTGACCACCCTCCAGCCCCTCACTAGAGGATTGTAGGCGGGGCTCCACCCTGATCACGCCTCTATCCCCTCTTCAAAATTTTGTGGGGTGAAGTGTGTGCCAATGCGCATGCGGAGGCCAGTAGCTGACGTCACGTGTCTACCTCAGTGGCTCTCCCAGGCTTCTGCCGGTACACACAACCTCAACACACAACCTCACTGGCATCTCGGGCCCTGGTGTCTGCCCTATGCTCCCCAGGCTTGCACAGCAAGTGCTCTACCCTGAGCATTCTCACGAGTCCCTCTTCTGACTTCCTAGACAGGGTCTCGCACAGGCTGACTTTAGCCTCACGACGTAGTCCTGCCTGGCCTCAAGCTGCGATTCCTGTGCCTCAGCTCCCCCAGCAGTTGAGCCCATGATGCAAACTGAGCTCTCTGGCCCTCTCTGTACGCCTGGAATTCCTCTGGAAACCTGCAGGGGGCGCAGTTCCCACAGCAGCGCAGACCCAATCCATCTAAAAGAAAAACCAGCCAGCCCCGCGGCACCCCAACATTCTGCCTTGTCCTGGCTCAGGGACCTTTTGTCCCACCCTTGAAGGGGAATCTGAAAACCTCCATTTCTCTGCCCTCAAGGATGGTTTCAAGGGCGCCTCTTACCCCCAACCACAGAGCCCTGCAGGCTCCCCGCCCCCACCCCCAAGGAACCAGGCCATGGCTGTTTGTCCATTTATTTATTTTTCTCCCTTGTGATTCTGCCTGCATATGTGCAATGCACCATCCCAGATGTTTTTTTGGTTTTTGTGTTTTTTTTCTTGCACCTGCTCAGGACGCGGCTGGGAGATATGCTTTCCCCTCAGCCAATAGGGAGAGGAGGATGAGAGCAGGGGGGCTGGAACTGTCTATCAGGCCTGGGCCCGCCCCCTGCACACAAAAGCAGCTTCCTTCACTATCTGGGGGCAGGCAGAGCCTCAGCCATCCGGGAAGCGGAGAGCCAAAGCTGCACAGGCTGTGATGGCGGGGGACACGGAGACCGCCGGAGGACAGGGGTGCTGCTACTGACCCAGGCGTCCCCCTTCTGCTGGGCCGGTGCCGCTGGCCACGTTGCCGTAGGTGACCTTCCTCGGATGTGGACTTGCCCCTGAGCATCCTTCCGCCAGGCCCTAGCCTGGGTACCACCCGCGAGATGCCAGCCTGCATCCAGGCCTTTGTGTCTCAGTGACAGCGCGGAACCGCCGCCGAGGTGAGTGTGCCTTTTGCAGACTGGAAATATAAATTGTCATTTTTTTCCCCTGCTGGTAGCCCAGCTAGGGGAAAGGTTTATCCGGGAGATGCTGACTGACTGTCGGCTTGGATGCTGCGACCGGGAGAGCAGCTGGAGCGAGCAGCCTGGGCTTGATCCTGGGTGGAGAATGCAGGGCCACAAGGATTAAAGCCCCAGCTCTGAGCCTGAGCAACCTGGGGGCGGTAAACCTCCCATGAGGTGTCGGGTGTTTTCTATTTATAACCCTGACTGCGGGCTTGGAGACATCAAAATTACATATACATTTAAAAGGACACATTTTTAGAAGTGGCCACCGGGCCAGGTCCCTGCGCTGTGTTTCCCGGACTTGACGGAGATCCCTGGTCCCTCATTGTAGCCGGCGCCCAGGAGACCCACCACACCCAGTGTTTGAAAGTGTATAGGTGGAGGTCCTTCCCCGTCATGCCCCCCCCCCCCTGCTCTGGATGAGGGACCCGTGTCCCTTCCCTGCACAGACACAATGGACTGGACTCAGCTGAGCTGAGCAAGGCCTGAAGCACACAGGAGGAGTCGTTTTCCTCTCCTGTGCTGTGTGTCTCAGCCTCTGCTGTCGCTCCTCCATGAATGGGTGATGACATTCCAGTCAGCCCCGCCTCCCCTCAGGCTCTTAATCTGCCAGCCATAGTCAACACCTGTAGGTCCAGTCACTCCTGGCTGCTAGAGACACGCCCCAGCCACTAGCAGATAGCCTGGTGGGCAGTGACATCCCGGACAGGCAAGTGTCCCTTGTCTCCGAATCAGACGGCTGGCTAGGGGTGACATCCCGTTACTGGGTCCTGGAATCATGTTGTCAATATGGAATTAGGAGAAAAATCATGATTTCACAGATGTGGCCCTGTTAGTGCCAGAGTTTGTTGTACAGGCTACCTTAGTTGTATGTGTGGGTGTCTATGCTACAACACTGGCCTCCAGCACAAAGTGCTCCCATCAGACAGTCTGGGGAGTCCACACAGCACCCCAATGGGGCACAGGAGACAGCTTAGGCAGTAAAACCATGAGGACTCAGGTTTAATCCCCAGCACCTACAAAGAAAAGCCACATGTGGTAGCTTCTGGCAACCCAGGACTGTTGCCATGCCAACCACCTGATTTTTGCTCCCTGGGACCCACATGGGAGAATGAGAGGGCTGACTCCACCAAACTGTCCTCTGACGCCCTGAAACTCCACAGTGTGCACAGACATACCCCACAGAAAAAACAGGCAGCTAATAAAAAGGTGATCAAAGTTGGCAAGGTAGTTGACACCTATAATCCCAGCACTCAGAGGCTGAGGTGGGACTATATGTGTCCCAGGAGAGCCAGGGTTACATAGACAGAACCCCCCCCCACACACACACCAATTGTAATCACCGCTTTATAGATCAGGCTGGCCTTGAGCTCACAGAGATCCACCTGCCTCTGCCTCCTGAGTGAGTGTTGGGTTTACCACCATGCCCCCAGTTTTGACCACCAGAGCACTAGGCATGCACATGGGGCACAGATATACATGCGGGCAAAACATACACACACACACACACACACACACACACACACACACACACACACACGAAATAAAGCTGGAGGACAAAAACAAAACAAAACAAAACAAAGAAACAAAAAACCAAAAACATCCCTGGAGAGGCAGAGACTGGTGGTCGAGGGCTCTGTGCTTAACATCAGGTGTAGAGAGACCCAGCCTCAAAATATAAGTGATACAGAGGGAGTTCCAGAGTCAGAGTTACACAGAGAGACCCTGTTAAACACAAACAAACAAACAAAATGACAGAGGACACCATTGTTGACCTCTGACTCCCATCAGCATAGGCATGCCTACAAATTCATAAACAGTTTTTATGGAGTGATGGAGTCAGGGGTCATAGGATTCGAGGACACCCCAAAAAGCCATGACTTATTCAACCCATTTACAAAGAAGGAAGCTGAGGTGCTGGCAGAAAAAAGTATGGAGGTAGGGTACAACCTGAGGATTCAGTTCTTCCTTCCACTATGTGAGTCCTGCTAAATGAACTCGGTCCCTTGGCTTTGTGGCAGCCAGGCTTGCCTCCACAGTTGAGGTCCAAGGAAAAGGAGAAAGAACGAATCAGTTTGGGTCCAGAGCTGCTCTGGAGAAGGTGGATTTGAGAGGTCTGAACGGAGGGAGGGCATATATGGAGGCTCAAGTCTTTACGTGTACTCAGGCCTGGGTGTCCTAAGACTTTGTATGTGCTTATTGTGAAATTCCCCCGCTGTGGGATGACTCAATCATCCACGCAGACCTGAGGTAGAGGTGGGGGAGCTGTAGTCATGGCTGTCTAGATCAATCTGTCCCTTCTTCCTCAGATCCTTTTCTGGGGTCACCTAGGCTTCCAGCTGGCTTCTCTTTCCAGCTTCCATGGGGACCACTGAAGCCACACTGAGGATGGAAAACGTGGACGTGAGGGATGAGTGGCAGGATGAGGATCTGCCCAGGTGAGGGCGCCAGTGTCCCCGTCATTGGGACCTCTCTGGCTCCTGGCAGCTTCAGCAGATGTTACTGATGATGACAGAACCTTCTGGAACCACTTCCTCTAAAACTCCCAGACAGTTAATCCCTATAGCCAGGCTGGGAGTGATGACTGACCCTTGCAGCTCAGCTTCCACAGAGGGAACCAGAGAAAGTTTTGGATCAACCTGATGTGCAGGGCAAGACCCTGTACCAAAAAGCTAACGAAGGAACGTGGTCAGCGGGCAGCGGTGGAGGCGTGCCTAAATCCTCCAGTTTGTGGCTGGGGGCATGATCAGGGGTGGAGCCCCATCTAGAATCCCCCACTGAGGGTTGGGGCTGTGGTCAGGGTGGAGCCCTGCCTAGAATCCCATGAGGGACTGGGGGCGTGACTTCTGGAAGGCATCTTTCTATATGGGTGCTACCTGAGCCATCTGTTCCAAGAAAGAACTGAGTCTGGAGCATTGCTGCCTTGATCTGAGTGCATTTTCTTCCTCTTCTTTTCTCTAACCCTCCTTGGCTGGATCTGTCATCTGCGATCCTCCTGCTGTGTTTTTGACACTGGTTCCTGGGGTCCATAGACCGCTCCCTGAAGACTCTGGGGTGGAGCTGCTGGGCGGTGCAGCGGAAGACTCCTCCTGTAAGGTTACAGAATGCGCAGAAATGCGAGCTTGGTTTCAGGGTGCGGATGGTTGTCCGGGGTTACATGCAGGGTGGAAATCTAGCCAGGGGGCTGCTGTGCACGTGGTCGAAGGGGTAAGAGAACACCTAAACGAAGACTACACCATATCTTTTTGTTTTTGTTTTGTTTTGTTGTTGTTGTTTTTCAAGACAGGGTTTCTCTGTAACTTTGTATACTATCCTGGAACTCGCTCTGTAGACCATGCTGGCCTTGAACTCACAGAGATCCGCCTGCCTCTGCCTCCCAAGTGCTGGGATTAAAGGCATGAGCTCTGTTATTCTTCACTCTTGATTAGGCCAGGGTGGCCTTGAACTCAGAGAGATCCATCTGCCTGTCTCCTGAGTCCTGGGATTAAATATGTGTGCCACCACTTCCTGCCTCTATGATTTGCTAGAATGGTTGCTGAGATTAAAGGTGTGTATCACCGTTGCCTAACCTCTATGGCTTGTGGCTAGCTTTGCTTTCTACCTTGAGGCAAGCTTTAATAACTCATAAATAATATATCACCACAACCCTACCTTTTCTGAAGTTTTTGGTTGCTTGTGGCATTTCATCAGAGTTGCCTGGAACAGTGCCTCCCAGCATGGTGAAGCCCATGACGTTCAAAGGCCAGGGGGGAGTTAGTTTCCTGGCTAGTTCCAGCTGGATTTCTCCATGTCCCACCACTGTGTGTGGTGTCTTAGGATGGGGTCTTACATGTAGGTCAGGTGGGCAGCCAAGAATGGGCCAACAGTCTGTGTCATTTGGAGACCTGGCAATTGAGGCTACAGGGCCATCGACTTTTTCTTCTATTTTTTGTTTGTTTGTTTGTGTTGTTTTTTGAGACAGGGTTAGCTTAGATTTATTATATAGCTGAAAATGACCTGGGATTCCTGACCCTCCTGCCTGCACATCCCAAGTGCTGAGTGACAGACATGCATTCTAGGGCTGTGTAAGCCTTTCTTTGTAGAACAAAGTCTTGTTTTGTGTGTGTGCATGGGGAGGTGGGCGTGGGAAATACCATTTTATTTGAGACAGGGTCTCACTGTTCAAGGCTGTGCTGTAACTTGCTCTGTAGACTAGGTTGGCTTCCTCCTGCCTCTGTCTCTGGATTGCTGTGACTAAAGGTGTGCACCATCACACCTGGCTTAGCAAATACCATTTTTGAAGGCAAATTCCATTTAACATATTTATTTTTTTTAGGCAAATTAAATTTGTTATTCCTCTCTCTCTCAATGCTAGTTAATGTTAAAGCTAGACATCCCTTTTACCTCAAAACATATCCTTCAGTCTCATTGTGCTGTTAGTGACCAGTGTCACCTCCAAGTGTGATCCTGGGTCATGTAGCATTTTAACCTACTTCATGGATTTGAAGGCTCCGCCCACTTCTGGGAAGAGGGCAGAGAGGGTCACAGCCCTGGGCTCCGAGGGTGCCCCTCAGTTACAGTGACTACTTGCACCCTGAGATCCCCAGTAGGGACATGGTCGACACACTGCCACTGCATGATCTCATGGATCCTAAAAACAAAACCTCTTCCAGAGTGGATAACACCAGTGGGCTCTAGTTTAGAATTTCCTTGGAAAGCTTACATTTATTTCCATCTCCTGAAGGGGTCGTTTTGCCTCTCTGTGCATAGACTAGGGAGCTAAAGGGAGACAGGAGAGGAGCCATGAGGAGTCTTACAACGTTTTCCAGGGGAGGGGGGGTTGGAGAGATGGCTCAGAGGTTAAGAGCATGTTGGTTCATGGCCATCTGTAAGGAGATCTGGTGCCCTCTCCTGGCCTGCAGGCATACATGCAGTCAGAACTCTGTCTACATAATAAATAAATCTTAAAAAAAAAAAAAAAAAAAAAAAAAACAACAAACCAAAGTTTTACTTAGCACAGGCAATAGAGCCAAGAGCCACTGCAATGAGGATGAGGGAGCTCAACCCTGGCCTCACTATTGATTGTAGGCGGAGCTCCACCCTGACCACGCCCCCAGCCCCTCACTGGGGATTCTAGGCAGAGGCCTCGCTTCATAGTTGAGGGTTGTGGGTTGTTGGGTGTCACATGTGCATTGCAAAGGACAGCTTATGGCAGACAGTTGTGTCCACCATGAGGGCTCTGAGAATAAAGTCACCAGGTGGGATCATCCATGTGGTGAAAAACTTTTACCTATTGTACCATCTCATCGCTCCAGTTTGACAGAAGATTCCAGTCAAAGCCAGGCTGCCCTTGACCCTTGCCTCCTCCTGCCTCAGTGTCTGAGTGAGATGACAGGCTTGCATCAAGACAGGAGCAAAGACCCACGTAATGATGGTTACCCCTCAATAACTACCGACAAGGAGTGTTGCCATTGGCCATTCACTGAGCACACAGACTGCGGATAAATCCCCGTTTTCCTAAAGCTACCCTGTTCAGACACCACTTTGGGAGTTTTCTGATGCTGTGACAAAAATGGTGGCCGAGACCAGCTTGGGGAGGACAGTGTCTGTTTGGCTTATACCTCAAGTCACCGTCCATCATGAAGGACATCGTGGCAGGAACCTGGAGGCAGGAGTAGGAGCAGAAGCCGAGGATGGCGCTGTCTCCAGGGCGCTTCCCGCAGATGCTCAGCCTGTTTTCTTCTTTTGTTTGTTTAAAGTTCTTCTCTCATACATTACATCCTGACACAGTTTCCCCTCCCTCTTCTCCTCCTAGTTTCCCCACCCCTCTCTCACCCAGATCCACTCCTCCTGTTTCCCGGGGACTTCAACCAGACACAGTATATATAACAAGTAAGACTAGACACAAACTGGCAGCCATGTTAAGGCTGTTTGAGGCAACCCAGTATGAGGAATAGGGTTCCAAAAGCCAGTAAAAAAAAAAAAAGAGTCAGAGACAGACCCTGCTCCCAGGTAGGAGTTTCACAAGAGGACCAAACTACACAACTGTCACATGTATGCAGAGTGCCTCCGTCTGCCCCGTGCAGGCTCCCTGGTTGTCGGCCCAATCTCTGTGAGTTCCTGTGAGCCCAGGTTAGTTGATCCTGTGGGTTTTCTTGTGGTGCCCTTGACCACTCTGGCTCCCACAATCCTTCCTCCCCTTCTTCCTCGAGGTCCCTGAGCTCCACCTAATGCTTGGCTGTGGGTCTGGATCTGTTTCCATCAGTTGCTAGATGAAGCCTCTCAGCTTTTCAGAGATTTATTTATTATGTATGCAACATTCTGCCTCCATGTGTGCCTGCATGACAGAAGAGGGCACCACTCTCATTACAGTTGTGAGCTACCATGGGGTTGCTGGAAATTGAACTCAGGGCCTCTGGAAGAGCTGTCAGTGCTCTTAACCTCTGAGCTGTCTGGACAGCCCCTCAGCCAGCTTTCTTACAGCACCCAGGAGAGCCCTGTCGGGGTGCCCCACCCATAGTGGGCTCAGGCCTCCCAGATCAAGAAAATGATCCACAGGCTAATCTGGTGGCTTCTCTCGGTCCCCTCAGAAGACCCAGTCACATTGAGCTTGTTCCCATTCCCAAGTGGACTTGGATTTGGGGACTAGTGGGGGTGGGGCAGAGGCTTCCCAAGAAGGAAGTCACATCCCTGTGGGATGAGTTCTGTGGGCAGAGGCTTGCCCAGCACTGGGGAGGAGGACACGGGAGAGCAGGAGTTCAAGGCCATCCTCTACTACATAGTGCAGATTCATTCAGATTAGGCCAGCCTAGGCTATCCAAGAGCCTGTCTGAGCTGCTGTGTGGGTGTGTGTTGTGGGGGTGTGTATGGGGTGTGGGGTGAGGATGTGGGGAGTGTGGGTGTGTGTTGTGGGTGTGTGTGGGGTGTGGGTGTGAGGAGTGTGGGGGGTGGGGGGAGTGAGGGGGTAGGGGTGTGTGTGTGGTGGGGTGTGTGTGGGTGGGTTTGGGGGTGTGTGGGGGTGGGGTGTGGGGTGTGGGTGGGGGATGTGAGTGTGTGTGGTGTGTGTGGGGGGGGAGTGTGGGGGATGGGGGGATGGGGAGTGGGGGGTGGCAGTTGGGGTGGTGGCTGGTGGGGGGGTGGCGGGTAGGGGGTGGCGGGTGGGGGTGTGAGTGTGTGTGGGGGGTATGCATGTGTGAGTTTGGGGGTGTGGGTGGGTGGGGGTGTGAGTGTGTGTGGTGTGTGTGTGTATGTATGGGTTTGGGGGTGTGGGTGGGGGGTGTGAGTGTGATTGTGGGTGTGTATGTGTGGGTTGGGGGGTGTGTGGTGTGTGTGGGGCGGGGGTGGCGGGTGGGGGGTGGGGTGTGATTGTGTGTGTGTGGGTGTGTATGTGTGGGTTTGGGGGTGTGGGTGGGGTGTGATTGTGTGTGTGTGGGTGTGTATGTGTGGGTTTGGGGGTGTGGGTGGGGTGTGATTGTGTGTGTGTGGGTGTGTATGTGTGGGTTTGGGGTGTGGGTGGGGTGTGATTGTGTGGGTGTGGGTGTGTATGTGTGGGTTTGGGGGTGTGGGTGGGTGGGGTGTGTAGGTGTGTGTGGGGAGTGTGTGGGGGTGGAGGTGTGTGGGGCTGACAGGTGGGGTGTGTGGGGTGTGTGTGGAGCATTCTTTCCCACTTGTGCACCCTGGCAGCACCTCCCTGCACCCTGAACTTGAGTGGAGCACATCGGAAGAGAAAGACCCTGGTGGCCCCAGAGATCAACATCTCCCTGGACCAGAGTGAGGGTTCCCTGCTGTCCGACGACTTCCTGGACACCCCAGATGACCTGGACATCAATGTGGATGACATCGAGACACCAGACGAGACAGACTCACTGGAGTTCCTGGGGAATGGCAATGACCTTGAGTGGGAAGGTGATGGTGATGGTCCCGCCCTGCCCCTCCGGCTACTCTGGGCCTCTTCTGTCCCCAGCAGCCACCTCTTCACTAGCCCTGGCACTATGACTCTGGGAGATGCATTACCCAATCTGTGTGGGGACTCTGTTGTCACATGGATTCTCACAGAGGAGGGAGGTCCTGATGTCCTACTCACAGGGTTGTGGGGGGAGGGGGCAGAGGGAACTATACATCCATAGGAGGTTCTAGAATAGGTATGCATGTGTGTAGGCGTCCATCCCTGGCCTCTTCCAGTCCCCACCAGGAGCTCCTGTAGTTGGGGTGGCCACACACATCTGTAGATGGCAGATAGCTACTGACCCACTCGGCACCCTGCAGAGCCCAGGAGGAGGGAGGAGCAGGGTCCCAGTAGTCCTGACAGAGCAGATAGGGAGAACCATGTGCTGGGAGGCCCTTTTAATCTTATTTATCATTTATTATTTATTTGCTTTTGCTTCGAGACATGGGCCTCACAAGATCCATCTGCCTCTGCCTGTGAGTGCAGGGATGAAAAGCATGAGCCACCAGGCTTGATATACTGGGGAAGCTGGAGCCCAGGCTGGCTTAGATGCAGTCACTGAGGCCTTCCCGCGGGAGACAGCAGTGTAGCCGGAGTGGGGTATGTGGTGGCCACCACTTTGCAAGTGGCTGTGACAAAACACCAGACACAGACAACAAGGTGGGGACCGGTTTGTTCTTGCTGACCGTTGGAGGCTACTGTCCATTGTGGCGGGGAGGCCTCAGCCCCTGGGACGGACCAGAAGACACCACACTCAGGGCAGTTAATCAGGCTAGCTCATCTCAGGTGTTCCCAGAACTGACTACCCCAAGATTTCAGATCCTGCCACATTCACTTGGATTAACCCTCGTGGGGGCGGGGCTGGATTCCTACCCACTCCACCCCACCCCACCCCATCCCCGCAGATGACACTCCGGTGGCCACCGCCAAGAACATGCCCGGTGACAGCGCGGACCTGTTTGGGGACAGTACGGATGATGGCAGCGCAGCCAACGGTCGCCTATGGCGGACTGTCATTATTGGGGAGCAGGAACACCGCATCGACCTGCACATGATCCGGCCGTACATGAAAGTGGTCACCCACGGAGGTGCGTGTGCCCCGCGATCCTCCACCCACTGCTCAGGGTGTGGGTGGACATGGTCCAGCCTGGGCTACTGTGACACTCACAGGATGCCTCCTTCCCAGGGTACTACGGGGAAGGTCTCAATGCCATCATTGTCTTCGCGGCCTGCTTCCTTCCAGATAGCAGCTCTCCTGACTATCACTACATCATGGAGAATCTCTTCCTGTAAGTAGGAGGCGCCACCGGGGAGGCAGAAGCGGCAGAGCTCTGTGAGGTCAAAGCTAGCCTAGTCTACAAAGCAAGACCGTGTTTCCTAAAACCCAAGCAGCTAGGCCGAAGGGGGCCCCTGGAGCTCAGAGAGAACATTCGAGATTCTCTGATGTTTAGGGAAGTGGTGCTAGCGATGGAGGCCAGGGCCTCAGCTCCCTTCCAGAATGTTCCAGAATGCACCAACATAGGTGTGTTCACACCTGCTCAGGTGTGGCTGGCCCAACGGGGCAGGGCTGCAGGAAGGTACCACATAGACCTGCACTCTCGGTGCCCCCACATGAGAACCCTGTGTCCCGCCCCCCAGATACGTCATCAGCAGCCTAGAACTGCTTGTTGCGGAGGACTACATGATCGTGTACCTGAACGGGGCCACGCCCCGGCGGAGGATGCCTGGCATTGGCTGGCTGAAGAAGTGTTACCACATGATTGACAGGAGGTGAGAGTGCGGGAGGGCACCGAGGTAGGAAGCCTGAAACCTCAGTGTCATTCCCCATCCGCCTGGGAGGCAGAAGCCCAACCAAGGTCAAAGCACCAAGGGCGGCGAAGGAAGGCCGCCCTAGATGCCTGCAAGTATCTCTGGTGACTGACTCCAGGGACCCTTGGAGAGGGAGGCACAGTGATGCGTGTCCTTCCATCTCTGATCCATGGCTCAGCATTGAGTCATCAAGGGCAGTCCACAGAGGGGCGTCAGAAAGAAGGCCTTTCTTTTTCATGGCTGATTAATATTCCAAAAACTGCATTGTTTCTGTCTGCCTGTCTGTGAGTAAACATTGGGTTGCTTCCGCTTTTTGGGTTTTATGAATAGCTTCAGACAGATTTTTTTAAACCCACAAGCACTTCCTAGAACTCAGGACAGAGTGTGTGTGAAGGGTATGAAAGGGCCACACGTGTCCCAGGGCCTCTAAATCTGCGCACTGAGAGGGTGCAGTTGACTAAGAGGGCTCGGGGTGTCAGGCTGGGGAGACACTGTGGTTAAGCGATCCCCTCCTCCCCTGCGGTCTCCCTGAACCCCAAGCCTGTGTATGACAGCTTCGTCCTCGCCTCCCAACACAGACTGCGGAAGAACCTGAAGTCCCTGATCATCGTGCACCCCTCCTGGTTCATCCGCACCGTACTTGCCATCTCCCGGCCCTTCATCAGGTACGACCTGCGCGCTGAGCTGTCCTGGTGAGGACCCTGCCTGGCCGCTATGCCATGTGTGTGTGTTTCCACCACCTTGTCCTGGAGACCTGAGACTCCCTCATCTAGCCAGAGCCAGTGATCCTCCTGCCTCAGCCTCCCCAGCTCCAGGGTTAGGGTTGCACCATGCCTGGCGTTTTCTGCACATGCTGTGGATTTGAACTCGTATCCTGATTCTTGCACAATGGAGCCATCTGTTCTGGTCCTTTCTTTTGTGTGTCTGTTTTTTCTCTCATTCTTTTATTTATTTATTTTACATTCCAATCCCAGTTCCTGCTCCCTCCTCTCCTCCCACTCCCTCTATTCCCCACTTCCTCCCATCTGCTCCTAGGAAGTCTAAGTCTGTCCCATCATCTCACTGAGGCAGGACTAAGGCAGCTCTCCACCCCCACCCCCCTGGGTCTAGGCTGAACAAGGTATCTCCATATAAAATGGCTCCACTAAGCCAGTTTGTGCATTAGAGTTAGATCTTCGACCCACTGACAGTTCTGGGCCTTGTTTTTAAAGTTGTGTCTCCCTGTGCGTATAGGTCAGCACTGGAATGGCAATCCTCCTGCCTCAGCTCCGTGAGTGCTGGGATGACAGGAATGTACCACCAGGCTAGGAAGAGAAGTCTGCTTTTTATTTGTAAGAATATGTTTGGCTGGCCATTGGTGGCTCGAGCCTTTAATTCCAGCACTTGGGAGGCAGAGGCAGGTGGATCTCTTTGAGTTCAAGGTCAGCCTAGTCTACAGAGCTAGTTCCAGAACAGGCTCCAAAGCTACAGAGAAACAAGAATACAATACAATACCAAAAAAAAAAAAAAAAAAAAAAATACGTTTGAAGGGCTGGCAAAAAAGATCTATGGATAGAGGGGCTTGCCACCAGCCTGACAACCTGAGTTCAATCCCTGAGACTACATGTTGGATGGAGGGAACCAACCCCTCTCAAGTTGTCCTCTTGTTTCATTAATGCACGCACAGCAAATAACTGTGAGAACACGTTTCTAAAAAGAACACATCCGAGGTGTTCGTCCTTCATCACAGTTCTGCTGAGGCAGGAGGATCATGAGTTTCAGGCCAAGCATGGGCAATTTGGCAGGTTGGGCATAGTGTGGCCTGGCTCTGCCTGGTGACCCCTTATCTGTTCTCTCTTGTCCTGTCAGTGTCAAGTTCATCAGTAAGATCCAGTATGTGCACAGCCTGGAGGAACTGGAGAAACTCATCCCCATGGAGCACGTGCAGCTGCCAGAGTGTGTCCTGCAGTGAGTGTCCCTCAGGGTCCCCGGCACCACTTCAGGCTGCAAAATGACCCTCATTGGCTCCCTTTCCATTGTGAATATTGTGGGGTCCAGCAGACTGTTCAGCATTTAGCATTTAGCGTACCAGCTGCACCTGCAGAGTACCTGGGTTCCGTTCCCAGCAGGGGTGGTGGGGCTCACAACTGCCTGTGACTCCAGTCCTGGGGACCCGACGCCCCTGCTGGCCTCTGCGGGTACTGCATGCACTCACAGGCATATTAACACTGAACCTCTCAGCACACAGCTCAGTGGTTCTCACACTGAAGTTCTGTCCCCACTTACATCCCCAGTCCCTGGCATCCACCCTCCCCCTTGTCTCCATGATCCAACTCCCTTCATGTGTTTTTCTTTCCCTCAGGTACGAAGAACAGAGACTCAGAGCCAAGAGAGAGAGGTCAGTGTGGCATGGCCTCCAGATGGAGCCTGAGGGGTGGTTTGGTGGTTTCTGTTTGCTGGAAACCAACTGATGTTGCCACCAGCTCAGTTCTGCCTTTGGATGTGGGAAAACTGATATGAGCAAGCCTGAGAGCTGGAGTTCAAATCCCCAACACCCACATAGTCCTAGAACTGGGGAGATGGAGATGGGATCCTGGGTCTCACAGGCCAGCAGGCTACCTGAACCAGTGAGCCCAGAGCTCAGCAAGAAACTCCATTTAGAAAAGTAAGAGGGATTGGGCCAGTAGTATGGCTTGGCTAGTAAAGGACCCTGATGGTGGAAGGGGACGATGACTCAGGGGCAGTTGTCCTGTGACCTCCTCACACACACAGAGGCACACACACACTTCTCTCACACACAAAGGTCTGCCTCTCGGATGAGGCCTCTGGAGTCAGCCATGAATTCAAATGCAGCCACGATCATCTATTAGATATTATTTATCTGTTACAGGAGTGGGTGTGCGAGCCATGGCACAGGTGTGGAGGTCACTTGAGGGGAGTCAGTTCCCTTTCCATCAAACAGGGATCAAACCTGAGTTGTCAGACTTGACCGCAAGTGCCTTTAACTGCTGAGCCACCTTGCCAGCCCCTGCCTCCCGCATTTAGTTTGAGGACTCTACTCAGCACAGGCCCCAGAACTCACACTTGTACAAATGATTCCAGCCCACACTGGCTCAGCCCATGTAAGCCTCTCTGTTGTTTCTTTTACTTTGTTTGTTTGTTTGTTTTTTGAGACAGGGTTTCTCTGTGTAAGAGTCTTGGAACTGGCTTTGTAGACCAGGCTGACCTTGAACTCACAGAGATCCGCCTGCCTCTGCCTCCCGAGTGCTGGGACTAAAGGTGTGCGCCCCCACCCGGCTGGGCTGTCTTGTCTGTCTTTGAAGTTTCTTTACAGTCAACACTCAGCATGTAAAATTCCTCACCTTACCTGTTCCTGGGCGCAACAGAGCCCAGTCACAGGGCTGTGCCCTCTCCACCAGCCCCTCAGAACTTTCCAAATCCCACAGAGATGCTCTGTCCCGCCCCATCCCGCACTACCTCCCCCCATATACCCCCAGTCTCTGTGGCTCTTGGGAGTGGATTCTGCCATGCAAATCTTCCCGTGTCCTCAAACTGCTGAGCTCTGTGTCCTCACATCATCCGTGTTGGCGTATTGTCAGAGCCTGTATTCCTTTTTCTGACTGGTCCACTATTACTAGCCCACTGATCTTATGGGAAAGGCTCTACAGCAGTGGGTGGAACCCAGTGGGTCCCCTGCCCCCGTCACCCCTGCCTTAGGCACTGGTGGCCTCTTCCTTAGTACAGAGGCCCATTCTTTTTATTTTTTGAGACAAGGTATTTAGAGGCTGAGGGTGGCCTCAGAACCCATGCCTTAGTGATCCCAGTGCTGGGCTGGGAGGTGTGAGCATTCTTCTCCTGCTACCTACACCTTCTGAGCCCAAACATGGGGCCATAGCTCAGTTGGTAGAGTACTGGCCTCTCTGGGCCCACCCCCTGTGTTTTGTTTTGTTTTTTAAATGTTGTTTTACTCTTTGGGCTTTTTCAGGAGCCCATGACCCAGCTCCCATATAAATCACACACACATAGAGGCTTATTATTACTTATGAATGCCCAACCTTAGCTGGGCTTGTTTTTAGCCAGCTTTTCTTATCTTAAATTAACCCAACTACCTTTTCCCTCTGGGCTTTTATCTTTCTTGTGATCCTCCTGCCTCTGCCTCTTTCAGCGAATCCCAGCATGCGCCGCCACAACGGGCAGGCTTTTATCTTTCTTACTCTGTTTCCTCTTTTCTTCTCCTCCATGTCTGGCTGGGTGGCGGCCCCTGATGTCCCCCTCTCTTTGTTCTCTCCTCGCTCCTCCTCCCTCGGTTCTCCTTCTATTATCCTCTCTGCCTGCCAGCCTTGCCTGTCCTTGCTCCTGCCTCACTATTGGCCATTCAGCTCTTTATTAGGACCACCAGGTGTTTTAGACAGGCAAAGAATCACAGCTTCACAGAGTTAAATAAATGCAGCACAAACAAAAGTCACACACCTTAAAATAATATCCCTCAACAATCCCCATTTCCACATAAGCCACCTGGGCGGCACAGACCCAGCATCCCTGCACTTGGCAGGAGGCAGGAGGATCAGGATTGCATGGCCATCCTCAGCTTCATAGGAAGTTACAAGCTAGCCTGGGCTACATGAGGCCCTGTTTCCAAGAGGGTAAGACAGGGCTCCTGCCCACCCCCACCTCACCTTGCATTATGGGTCATACTTATCCCATCCTGGGCCACCAGCTCCCTTCAGCACAGCAAGAACAACAAAACCATAACATCAGTCCATGCTTGAAGGGCCAGTGGGATCTCATAGAGTCCCATCTGCCGCCCACCTTTGTCACTTGGTTCTGTCTGTCACAGCGCACGGCCTACACAGTCAGATTTCCTCATTCCCAGATCCGATGGAAGACCAGAGGCAGTGGAAGAAGAGGATGGGTGAGCACACAGGGATTGGGGGACAGCAGGCTGAGGCAGGGAGGGGCACTGGGAGGAAGACAGGTGTGGCCAATGCCTTTTCATGCAACACCTGCGCAGCTGCACCAGCTCCTCTAGTCCCCTCGTTTGTGTCTGTTTGGGCTTGTCCCTTACATAGCAGGTGAGGGACACCTGCTTTCTGCTAGAAAAACACAACATGGTGGCAGCCTTCCTGGGGAGGTTTCCAGCCACAATCAATAAATGGGAATTGCCTAGGGTCCCAAATAGGCAAATAACACCCTCTCCTCTCCACGAGCAGCTCAGCGGAAGTGACAGAAGACCAGGAAACAAGGTGGGTGTAGCACAGGGTGTCAGCAGGTTGTCCTGGAATGTTCTAAGTGCAGTTCAAGCAGGGTAACTGAACATACATATGCTGTGCCCCAGATGGTGGTATAACAGACAGGGTATGGATCAATTTCCTATCTGTGGGATATGGTGGCCATGACTGGGACATCCATGCACAGCTAGGCCCAGATGCAACCCAGAGAAAGGAGGGAGGGATGGATGGGTGGGTGAATGGATGGGTGGGTGGATGGATGGGTGGGTGGATGGGTGGGTGGGTGGGTAGATGAGTACATAGATGGATGGATAGGTGGGTGGGTAGATGGATGGATGAATGGATGGATGGGTGTGTGGGTGGATGGGTAGATGGATGGGTGAGTAGATGGATGGGTGGGTGGATGGGTGGGTGGGTGGATGGGTGAGTAGATGGATGGATGGGTGGGTGGATGGGTGGGTGGGTGGATGGGTGGGTGGATGGATGGGTGAGTAGATGGATGGATGGGTGGGTGGATGGGTGGGTGGGTGGGTGAATGGATGGATGAGTGGGTGGGTGGATGGGTAGATGGATGGGTGAGTAGATGGGTGAGTGGGTGGGTGGATGGGTGGGTGGGTGGGTGGATGGGTGGATGGGTAGGCAATGTTAGAGTCATGGTTTGGTGAGTTAGTGGACATGTAGGTTTGTGACACTGAGTGCAGGGGCCCACAGATCTTTATTGCTGTTGTCCTGAACTACGTTAGGAATATTGGTGGCAGTCATTGCTCTTTGGTCAGAGCTCTCCACAGCCAGGTAGCTGACTCTGATTTTCCCTGTGGAAGCTCACCTCCACCTCAGGCACTGACCCCACCCTCCTTGTCCTGCACCTTCCAGCATGTCCTGACTTAACCAGGACCTAGTGATGGACATAGAAGATTCCAGACACCACATAACCTCCATCAGATGCCGTGGGCCCCGGACTTCATCCTGCCTCATCCTGCATTCATCATCCAAGGACACCTGGCTCCTTAGGCCCCTCTGCATCCCGGGATCCTTTCTCACTGCTTGAGTACATTCCACTGTTTTTACTTTAAGAAGGCACTGTGAGCACACTCTGGAATGGACCCGGTCCTTGACCTCTACCCTTCCACACTCTGAGCTTGTGGTTGGCAGACCTGGACATGAGCAGTGTCACCCATGAGTCCTATATAACCTGGGCCCTTTCTCAAGACCTCCATATCCCCAGGATGCCTCATGAATGTGCATTTTGGACTGACCCAATTAAAGACCTTCACTCACCTGTCGCCTGTTCCTGTGGAATATGACCTACTGTCACCCCAAGCAGGGATGACCTCCATCCCAATTGACACCCCTTATTCTGCCATTCGACTGTCTTAAGGGGCTTTCAAGCCAGTTGCACACATATTGATCAGACTGGTGGTCTCTCCCCCATAAGGTACAACATTTTAGAGCCCTTTAAAGTAGCTGTGACTCTAGGGATTTTAACTACTGCCTCATCTTAAGGGAAAGAGTTGTATCTACCTTTCTGTCCCCTGCCTGGACAACACTTAGTCTCTGTGTCACCAAACAAGAGGTTGTATGGGCTCAGTGTATGGGCCATGAAAAAAAAAAAAAAATGAAGATACAGGGTTGTGGATGTTGGAGGATCTTGGGGATTCCCTAGGAGAATCTGTCCCACTGTGGTCACCTGACCTCCAAGCTGAGATCAAAAAACAGGTTTGACTCAATGACTAGACAATCAGGGCTGTGTCCAGATGCTACAGGAGTGTGAGGAGCAAGCCTCCTGTCTCCAGGGACACTGAAGACCCGATGACATTTGTAAGGAGGGGTTCCCTGTGGTTCCTGTCTTTAATCCCAGCACTTGGGAGGCAGAGGCAGGCGGATCTTTGTGAGCTGGAGGCCAGCCTGGTCTACAGAGTGAGTTCCAAGACAGGCTCCAAGGCTACACAGAGAAACCCTGTTTCGAAAAAATTAAAGAGAGAGAAAGAGAGAACACACATGACTGCTGGGCCTCATCATCTCCCAGGAATGGAACCCGTTCCATCCATCCCAGCATAAGGCATTTGGCTTCTGTGACATGCCCCTTGTTTTGGCACGGGAGTCATCTGAGCTCTGCTGACCACTCACCAAGGCCTCCACTCTGTGGCCCTGAGCAGGGACCTGAGAGTGTTGTTCAAGGCACTGGTTTTTGTTTTGTTTTGAGACAGGATCAGCCTGGCCTCAATCTCCTGATCCTCCTGCCTCAGCCTCCTGAGAGCTGGCCTGGCATGTGTGTGTCCTCAACAGGTAAGGGCTTTGTAAGTTGTGTTTATCCAACATGATAGAAGAGGGGCACTGATGTGGTACCCCAGATCCAGGTCCATGGATGGGGCACCGATGTGGTACCCCAGATCCAGGTCCATGGATGGTCTCTCTTGGCTTTTGGAAACAGAATCCTAGAGGTTTTTCCTGACAGGTGGCTTCTGGTAACAACCAAGGCCTATGACACAAGGACAGCTGTGGCAGGGACGGACGGACAGACAGACAGACAAACACAATCCTGCCAGCCCTCAAGGGTCATGTCCCCAACCCTGGGAAACTCTGATAGGGCCACCCGCTACATCTATCCCCCTGCAGCCCTCCCCTTTGAGATCACCAACACCCACCAACACAGGGAGGCAGGACCCAGAACCATGGCCATAGAGGACACTGAAACAGGAGAGGCACCCTGTATTGCTTACTATCCCAGTCCACACAGGGCCAACACTCCAGGTACCCAGAGAACAGTCTGAGGCAAAACACAGAGCCCCAGCAGCCTTGTGGTAAAGGGCCACTGGATTTCCTTGTGGAGACCCCAAGGTCCATTTGAAAACTTGCCCCAGAGCAACCGTGCCCCCATCCACCACTGAGTTGTGTACTTATAACATGGACACAGTGGGGACAGTTGCTGTGATGACATGTGGGCCAGCAAGCTGGGGAGTGGGTATGTGAAATACAGAACCTAATGCAGAGGAAGAATGGTCCCTCTGAATGCTTCAAGGTGTGGGGAGTGAGGAGTGCAGGCCCAGCTTCCCATCACTGCGACCAGTGGCCACGTGTGGGTGGAGCAGCAGAATGGGGGAAGGGCTATCAAACCTCCAAGGACTATGCCTCCACAGCTTGATCCTTGGGACACACAGAGTGGCAGGGAGACCAAAGGCCTTGTGAACACAGCTATGTTTAGTGTCGCCAGCAAGCTATGATGGGGACCTGGGTGTAGTGACCCATGCCTGATATCCCAGCCTCCAGGAGCAGGAGGATTACAGAGAATTCCAGACCAACCTGGGATCTGGATGGAGACTCTGTCTCCAGTAAACCAAACAAAGGCAAGAACCAGCCAGAGTGCGGTCACCTGGATGTGCCAGGTCCCTTCTGGTGACAGACCCTAGGGAGGGAGGGGCCGAACAAGTGGGGTAAAGGCTGGGCAGGACGGGGTGCCTTTAACAGACTCTCACTATACCCATTCATTCCCTAACTCCTTCACTCACAGCATTCATCTCCCATGCCATAGCTCTGGGGTGCAGCCACCCAACTCTTTCCATCTCAGTCACATGCTCAAGTCCCTGGGGACCAGCAGGGAAAAGCCAGACATTGTCCTGGGGTGAGAGTTCTCAGCAGTGAGGCAGTGTGAGCCCTCAGCAGGGAGGATGGAGTTGAATAACCCCAGCAGGATGGGTGAGTGAGAGTCTGGGGTTTTGGAACTCAATGGGTAAGGTGTTGGCCACAAGGCCTGAAGACCTCCATTCAAATGGCCCAATCTACATAAAAGAGGCACACTGGTGGCACCTGGGTCCCTGGGGCTCATTGGCCAGACACCCCAGCTTAGCCAGAGAGCTCATGGTTCAGTGAGACCCCACCTCAAAAATAACTGGGCATGGGCTCTGTAATTAGAGCACTGGCTGCTCTCAAGGAGGACCTGGCTTCCATTCCCAGCACCATGTGACTCCAGCTCCAGGGAACTCACTGCCCCCCTTCCAGCCTCCTGTGCACCAAGCACACATGATACACAGACAGACAATATACATACACACAAAAATAAAAATAAATAAACCTGCCAAATGGTGTGGTGCACACCTTTGATCCCAGCACCGAGGAGGCAAAAGCAGGCTAGCCTGGTCTACAGAACAAGTTTGAAGCCTGCCAGGGCTAAATAGGAAGACCCCAGGAGACACCTGACATGGACCTCCTACCTCGCATGTGCCTGCACACCAACAAAGAATATTTCTTTTCCTTTACTAAAATGGGGTAGGACAAAGCCCCTCTTTGGCTCCCCTGAGTCTGCTCACAATGACCCTGGTCACAAGGTAGGTTCACAACGACAGTCATGCTGCAAAGATCATCAGAGCAAAGCAACCCCGTGATTCATCATCCAGAGGCCTAAACCCACCTTGGTCATGACACTTGTGGAATAATTTCCTGCCAGGGCCTAGCTGGGGCCAAGGGAGGAGGGGGAGGAGGGAAGAGAGGGAGAAGGAGGAGTCAGTCCCTTTTCTTGGCCCCATGAGATCCAGTCTCAATGTCAGGGTCAAGCCAGGGGACACAAACTTAGGCAGATATTTTTAGGGATAGAAAGGTGTGACTGGGTAGATGGGGAGGAGTGGGGAGAGGAGGAGGCAGGCACAGGACCACAGGATGGAAGTTGGCTGTTGTCTCTTTGCCCTCTGGCTCCTGAGTAATTTAGGCAAAAGGCTACTGAAGCTATTTGCAGCCTGTGAAACAGGTGCTCTCCCCCACCCCCAGCGCTTGGGAGGCCTCCTCCCCCAGGGTGGCCTCCACGCTGCCCAAACCTATAAAGAACCACAGCTTTGTCAATGAGGCTGGGACTCCCCGGAGCGGCACACTGCAGGCCACAAGCAGCTGGGCTGTGTGGCCACCTCAGGACCAGACCCCACTGCCAACCCCCAGCATGAAACTCATCGTGGGCATTGGAGGGTGAGCCCCAGGGGGCCTGGAGTGACCCTGTATTGGGAGGGGGAAGGGCCCTGAGGCCCTGGTAGTCAGCCTCTGCCACCCACAGTCTGAGCACTTGGGCCAGTCTGCTTGAGGGCTGTAAGAGCTTTGTGTTCGCATAGGGTACAGGGAGGGTACCATTGTACTTGTGTTGATTGTTTTAAACATCAGCAGGAAGAGATGGAGAGATCTGATGGAAACCTGGGGACCAGCCCTGTGGGGTTGGGGAACAGATACGTGAAGAGGGCAACCAAAATGCCACTGAACAAGTGACCACCCCGGTTTGTTTTATTTTATTCTGGAAGCGAAAGGGTAGGTCCGGGCCTCAGGCATGCAGAACAAGCCCTCAGCACTGGGCTGTGGGCACAGACCTTTTTACTTTTTATTTCACGACAGGGTAACACTTGATTACGAAGGCTGGCCCTGAACTGAAGATCCTCCTGTCATAGCCCCTAGCTGAGTGACAAGAGTGTGTTTCCATGCCTGATTTTTTCTAAGGATTCCCACCAAACACAGCCCTTCCTCCCTGCGACTTCCACCAAGACTGCTAACAACTTAGGGCAGGTGACCATGTCTCCAGAATGGTTGAGGGTGACCTAAGTCTCCACCTTACTTACCCTAAGAGCCATAATGCCCTGGTGTCCCTAAGGCATGGGCTTCTACCTCTGACCATGCCCCAGCTCCTCACTGGGGGATTCTAGGCAAGGCTCCAACCCTGACCACTCTCCCAGCTCTCTAGAGGATCCTGAAGACACCCTTTACTAACCACGACCCCTGACCATGTTTTCAGCTTGTGGTTTCAGACAGAGCTTTACTGGGCAAGTTGCCCAGGCTGCCTTTGAACTCATGTCTATTCTGCCTTCCCAGTGCTGCGGGTGTACATAGATATTTACCACCAAGCAACCCTAGCTTGTTGGGCTAACTAAGGAATATATTAGTTGGGACAGCAAGATGGCTCACTCAGTGGGTGAAGGTGTTTGCTGCTGAGCCTGGTGGCTCAAGTTCAATTCCTGGACCTGATCCCTGTAAATTGTCTTACACACACACACACACACACACACAAAAAAAAAAAAAAAAAAAAAAAAAAAAACACGCACACGCACATACACACACATATCACCTATCTAGGCTGGAGCAGTCTAGTGGGAGCTCCTGCTCAGGTATCTGGCCCTGGCATCTCCCCCTTGGCGTGAGGGCCAGAGATGTCACGCACGCACATGCGCGTATCCCCCTGCAGGATAACTAATGGCGGGAAGAGCACCCTGACCAGCAGTCTCCACAAGGTGCTGCCCAACTGCTGTGTGATCCACCAGGATGACTTCTTCAAGGTGGCCGCCCGAGTGGAGTGGTGGGCTGGAGGGGACACGGAGCAGAGTGTTCTCACTGGGCTGCATGTCCCCAAGGGGATCAATCCCCTGTGCCAGGGAACTTGTTAGGCTGATGAGGGGTGTCCGCACTATTGCATGCTGGGTTTTTTGTTTGCTTGTGCCTCTGCTTTCCCTTTTATGCAATGAGCTCAGAAGGATGGAGTGACAGGTGATGGGCAAGTAGATTCGCCAACCTTCACCCACTCAGGACCCACTTCCTGCCCCCCCAGGCTCACTGCGGGGCAGCCCCAGACGGGTGAGAAGGCTGGGCGGGCACAGGTCTAAGCCCTGGGATCCTTTGTTTCAGCCCCAGGACCAAATAGCAGTTGGGGAGGACGGCTTCAAACAATGGGACGGTAAGTGGCCCCCTCCCTGTCTGTTGCCCTCATTCTGTCTGTCTCCCCAGCCCCGTCGCCCCCCCTCAACATGCTCTGTAGTCAGGCCCTGTCTGTCCCTGGCCATCCTGTCTGCAGCCCCCCCAGCGCCCTGTAGTGAGGCTGTCTGTCCCTTGCCTGTCAGTCCCCCACCATGCCCTGTGGTGCAGCCCTGTCTGAACCCCACTGTCTGCCCACCAGTGCTAGAGTCCCTGGACATGGAGGCCATGCTCAGCACCGTGCGTGCCTGGGTGAAGGATCCACGCAAGTTCGCGCGCGCTCATGGCGTCAGTCTCCAGCCTGGCGCCTTGGACACCCACATTCTCCTCCTGGATGGCTTCCTACTGTACAGCTACAAGTAAGTCCAGGTCAGCCAAGGTAAGCTCTCAGGCTGCACCATCGTGCTGTGTGACCTTGAGCCCTGACCACCTACCTCTCTGTATCAGTTTGGACCATGGAAGTGGGATGAGTCTGAACTCTTGGGAGACACAAAGGGAGTGTGTGTGTGTGTGTGTGTGTGTGTGTGTGTGTGTGTGTGTGTGTGTGAGGGTGCGCAGGGATGTCAGCTGACTGTGTCCCTGCTCCCTGGTCAGACCCCTGGTGAACATGTTCAGCCATCGCTACTTCCTGACTGTTCCCTATGAGGAATGCAAGCGGAGGAGGAGGTAGGTTACAAGGGACACAGGGGTGTCCGTGGGGCACAGGCAGGGCCTCCCCAGTGACTCCTGCTCTGTCCCAGGAGCCAGAGCCACAGGCTTGAACAACACCCACACCCACCCTTCCCCACACATTTCAGGCTCAGCCTTGGCCTAAAGGTGTGATCTCCCCCACCCAGGGCCTGTCTGAGGGTTGCCTGGGGTCTGTGGAGCACCAGGCTTCAATGACAGGCCTAACACCTCTTTCTCTCTCCAGTAAACGTAGTTACATGGTCCCTGATCCCCCTGGCCTCTTCGATGGTCATGTGTGGCCCATGTACCAGAAGTATAAACGGGAGATGGAACAGGATGGAGTGGAAGTGGGTAAGCCGCAGGCCTCCCCACTCCCTGCTGGAGAGCCTGAAGTCCATTTGAGTGTTACCCCCAGTCTCTTGCTGTTCCCTTGGGTCCTAAGAGTCCACATGCTGCTCCGCTCCCCATCTACAGCCCAGCCCTGACCCAGGCCTTTTCCGGTTCCAGTCTATTTAGATGGCATGAAGTCCCGTGAGGAACTCTTCCATCAGGTTCTGGAGGATGTTCAAAACAGACTGCTGAACCGGTCCTAGCCAGCTGCTGGGCCCTGGGTGCGACTCCACACACCATCCAGGGTATGAGGAGCAAATGGACTGGAAGCTGTGGCAGTTCCCCTCCGGGGACCTGTACATGTGGGGGGGGGGCACCCTTGAGACTGTGTAGCAACTCAGTATTAAACTGATTAAACTGGATTGTGTTTTTTAAGTCCTGGTGCCGTGTGTGGTCTCTGAGTGGGTCGGCTGACCCTCCCTTCAGCATGCTGTACTGGACCCTAGTGTCCTCTGAGGTTGATGCCAAGAGCACTGGACACTGTCAGCCTCCACCTATCTATCCATAACCTTGTTAATGTGCCTTAGTTTCTCCAAAGGAGACATTCCTTACGAACTTGGCTGAAGAGGGAAACCATCTTCCCTAATCTAGACAGGCACAGAGAGGTCCTGTTAAACCCAAGGTCATACAGTAAGGTGGTGTGTCCAGCCGGGATTGCTGCTCTGCCTGAGACAGTGGAGATTATAGAGTTCTTGGGGGAGTCCTGAGACCTGTGCTCTCTCATCTGAGCCTCCCCCTATCCCATTCTAGGACCAAAGCCAATTCTCAAGGTTATCCCAAGTCTCCCTTGGTAGCCACAAAAAATAAACCTACTGGTCTGTAACCTAGCAGGTCTCCTCTCTCACACAACCAGACACCTCCTGAGCCGTGGTGGCAGCCTCAATGTGACATTTTATTACTTGTGTTCACTTCATGAAAGGAGAATTGAGGTCCAGAGCATCTTGGTGATGCTGGAATGTGAATCTGGGAGGGTGGCTGCAGAGGGTCCATTCTTTGGTCTGAGCGCGACACCTCATGGCCATGTGTGGAATTGCAATGACAAAATCCCAGTCACATACAGGAAAAATGCTACAATGGATGGATGGATGAGGTCATGGGTGAGTGGGTGGATGGGTGGGTGAATAATAATGTTCTATTAAACAGAAAGCACAAGGCCTCTTTGGCCACATGAAACTGTCTGAAAATAAAATATAAAAGTAATAAAATAAATGATAAATTCCATTTTCTTTTTTTTTGGGGGGAGGTAGTTCTAGGTAGGGTTTTTCTGTTTAGCCCCAGCTGTTCTGGAACTTGTTGTGTAGACAAGACAGGCCTCAAACTCACAGAGATCTGCCTGCCTTTGCCTCCTGAATCCTGGGATTAAAGGTGTGCATCACCACAGCCCAGCTTTTGAATTGTTTTCTAACACATTTTACAGATGTCAAACTTCAGGGTGTTTTGCTTTGTTTTGTTTTGTGATGGGGCTCCTATAGCTCAGGGTGGTCTTGAACCCTGGTGCTGCCTCCAGCACAATTTTCCATTCCCCGGTTCATCCTGTCCCAGTACTTGTGAAACTAGTCTTGTGCTGTGACAGGTGTAGGATGGCCTCACACTTGCCAGAGGCACTGAAGACACCTACCATCTCCCCTTCTGCAGAGGTTATGTGACCAACACTGTGAAGGAAGGGTTGTAGGGTCGCATTTTCAGGGATAGGCACAAGCTGAAGTCCTTATGACTGGCAGTACTGGAGTAGCTTGTTGCATCTCCAGCCCTCAGCCTTTGTCCTAGGCAAACTCTGCAGTCAGACTTATCTGCATGTCACTGTCCCCAAAACAGTTCAGCATAAGAGAGGGACCTGGAAGAGGTGGCTTCAGGGCAGACAGACTCCTGCCTGATTCATAGAATTTCTGAACGTGATTCATAGAATAAGGGATAAACGAGGAGGCTGAAGCAATTGCTCACTGGTGAGAGCACCTGCTACTTCTGCAGGACCTGGGTTCAGTCCCCAGCACACAACCATCTGTAACTCCAGCTTCAGGGGACCAGACATTCCCTTCTGGCCTCTGTGAGGACTGCACACCCATGGTGTACAGACAAAAATGTAAGCAAAGCATCCACACACATAATGATAAAAATGGAACACAAACACACACCCACACATAGCACACGCAGCACACACATGTGCACAGAAAGGTAACAAGAATGTTTTTAAATACTGACAGCAGCTTGCCCAGCCTCCTCATCATTTTAATCCCGGGGTTCCAGTGTACTGAGGATCCCCTTGCCCTCAGCACACTGGAGGGGTGGTCCCATGTTTTATATTGGTGTATTGCATGTCCCATATCTGCAGAGCCCAGAGAGGGAAAGATGCTTGCTTAGGGTCACTCAGCCATCTGAATTTGAACCCAGGCCCGTGGCCTTCCCTAGCTGGGCAAGTAGGGCCTCACTGTATTTCCACCCTGCTGGAAAGCCATCACAGCCTTCTCAGATGACAGGGGGTTCCAGGGATACCCATCAACCCAACCTTGTCCTGGCAGGGTCAGCCAGCCCGCCCAAGGCCTTCAGGGACGTGGTGAACTTCTACCACCCATTCAGACACAAGCTCCTCGCCAGCACTCCAGATGTCATCAGCATCCTTAACTGAGGGGTGGGACAGTCCAAGACAGACACATGACACCATGATATTGCAGTACAGAGTCCCTCTTTGTGGCCAAGGGTGCTGAGGTTCAGGGGAGGAGTTATAGAAAGACTGGCTCGGGCTGGACACCGTGACACTAGTCCACCACCCTGGCACTTACTCAGAGGCTGAAGCAGGAAAATGAAGAGTTCAAGGTTATCCTTGGCTACATAATGAGTTGGAGGTCATCCTGAACTACATAAGACCCTGTCTCAAAAAGAAATCTCAGGTTGGTGGCTATGTCTTCCTGAGGGTCCTTGGTGAAGTCCGGAGATAGGTCACACAAGAGGACCTCCAGGCACAGAGTGGGTGAAGTCAGAGACACTGCTCAGTACCCTCCAGAGCCCAAGACACCCCACACAGAACACCCAGCCAGACATCTCCTCACAATGAGCTCAAGGTTCCCGTCTCCAGTATGGATCACTGTGCTGACCAGACCCTCACAAGCCCTAGAGTCAAGAGCAGAGCCTTGTGGCTGACACCTCAGCTAAGTCATCCCCATGTCCCAAGGACCTTGGCCAATGTGTAAGGGCCCTGCCTAGACTCCCCCTTCTCCTGCTCTCTCACTATAGGAGCCACTCATTGTGCCCAACTTTGAGTCCTACAGATTTGAACCCAGGACCTCAAACACCCTAGGTAAATACTTTACCCACCAGGCCTGCTTTGAAGCTGGAAGGACCCAAGTGCCATGCCCACCACCCAGCCCTAGGGCTGTCGCCCTACACAACCCCACACACCCCAAGTCCTAATTATGCATAAAGGCTGAGGTAACGGTTTGGTCAGGACCTGGAGCGGGTGTCAGCGAAGCCATCTGTCACTGACATCAGTTCACACTCAGCAGAGTTCTCAGTCAGCACTTACACCCAGGGCCCCACCTGGGCCAACACCATCTCCTGCAAAGGGCACTACACTCCAGACATCAGGTCCCCGAAGGCCAGAGAAGGGGGAGACTTCCCTGGAGCTGAGTGGAGGACAAGCCAAGGCCAGAGAGGAGGGGCTGACAGGAGGCAGAAGCCACCAGTTGCAGATGTCCCATGTCACCCATCCTGCACCCCCCAAGATCCACTGGACAGTCTCTAGAGACTGCAAGTGGCTGGAGAAATGAATGCTGCATTGCCTTGACTCTACAGCCAGTAGGTCTGAGGCAAGGGGGACAGAAGTTGAACTTGGGGACACATCTAGAGGTCCCATCTATACACGTAGGACAGCCAAAAAATGCCTTTAGCCAGGTATAGTGGCACACGCCTTTAATCCCAGCTCTCAGGAGGCAGAGGCAGGCAGATCTCTGTGAGTTCAAGTCCAGCCTGGTCTACAGAGTGAGTTCCAGGACTGTCAGGGCTACACAGAGAAATACTATCTTGAAAAACCAAACCAAATAAAGATGACTTTACACTTCAAAATACAGAAGTCCAGGGAGCTGCAAATCCTGAGGAGAGCTGGGGTTGGGGACAGAGGAAGTCCCCTCTTTGGTCGCCCAACTGTTCACCACCCACACCAAGATACACATGCATTCTTGGGGTCACTTGGGTGGGATGGGGGTCCTTGGCTCTGCACCCTGTTTGCATGTCACCTTTCCCCTCCACCCATTGTCCCAGAAGCCACTGGGAACCATCAGGGTCTGTGTTTCATCCTTCCTTCGTTTTAACACAATTCTTTGACTTTTTGGGGTCACCATGGCTGCATGAAGCCTGGGTGAGGGCCAAGGAAGGGAGGTGGTTGGGTACTTACTTTTAAGATCTCAGGGGTTGAAGGAACCGCTGGGAGCTGGCAGCCTTGGCTTTATAGTCATGCCGCTGGCTCCCAGCCAGGTTATTAATAGAGATATAGCATCTTGCCCAAGTATGGTCAAGAGCTGAGGACCGTGAACTTGGCAGAGCCATGTGTGCTCTGAGCACCTGATCCGGGCTGTGACAGGATGGGCGTGGGGGATGGCACACAGCAGTGCCCTCTGACCCACATAAACCCAAAGCCTTGGGGGGGTGTCCCCAAGCCACAAATAGAGCTAGGTGTGGTGACAGCGGCCTGCCATCCTGGCCTGTTGTAAGTGGAGGAAGGATCTGGGGTACATTCATCCTAGGCTACACACGCAGCTCTAGGCCAGCCTGGGCTAATTCCATGGCTACACAGTGAGACCCTGTCTCAAACACATAAAAAACAAGCTAATTAACTTGAGATTCGATCCTCGGAACTGCTGCTATCAAGACCCCCACAAACTTGGGGTGTCTACTTACCAGCTTGGGAGGCTCGCATAGGGGGAAGAGGGGTCATGGCAGCTGGGGAAGCTGCATGGGAGTGGGCTGGGCTCACTGGTAACAGTAAGCACATGGCCAGGGCACTTCCAGTGGCTCCCTGCCTCCCCCACCCCAACAGGGCCCTGCGGTAGGGACATGCCATTCCCCAGGCTGTCAGTCAGTCCTACCAGATGACGTTAGCAAACCCACCCCATCCCCGCCCACGATCCCATCCTGACTAACTGGGATAAAGCCCAGACACTGGAACAGCAGCTGCACACAGGGGTGACTGGCACCCTCCCCAATTCCAGGAAGAGCCTCTTTGTTCTATAACATTCCACGTCTGCCTGAAGCTCAACCCAGCCTTCTCTGAACTTTAGCTAATATAACGCAGAAA